GGAGGAGACTCCTGCGAGTCCCTTGGACTGCAAGGTGATCAAACTGGTCAGTCCTAGAGGAGATCAACCCTGACTGCTCTTTAGAAGGCCAGATCCTGAAGATGAAACTCAAATACTTTGGCCACCTAATGAGAAGGAAGGACTCCCTGGAGAAGAGCCTAATGCTGGGAACAATAGATGGCAAAAGGAGAAGGGGATGGCAGAGGATGAGGTGGCTAGATGGAGTCACTGAAGCAGTTGGTGTGAGCTTGGGTGGACTCCGGGGGATGGTGGAGGACAGGAAGGCCTGGAGGAATGTTGTCCATGGGGTTGCAATGGGTTGGACACGACTTCGCAACTAACAACAACAAGATATGTGGTGTGAAGTCCAAGAAAGGGGTTGATCTCTCTCATTGCCTCACTAGTGTTAACTAAGTCTTTGTTTTTATTTTCCACCTTGTTTTTCTTTCCGCGATTTTTTTTTTATCATTTTAAGCCCATGGACTGTCTTCAACAAGTGACTGATGGCCTGTTTAGAACACCTGTGCATGTTTGGAAAGGAAAAATCCTGCAAGTTCTGCTTTTCTTTCTGTCTAACCATGTGTAGGATTGTGCCCTTTAAAACTTAAAATGCAATATAAATACTGCCACTAGTAATGATGGAAGAGTGGCAGCGAGATCCTCAGGATCCAGATATTTGACAGAATGGAGAGGTATCTTTTCTGCCTTGTAAAGGCAAAGGGAGACTAAGCCACATGACCTTCACCAAGGAGAGTCTTCCACACAGAACATAATGTGACAGAAAATGTCGTTATTTTCCTTTACATTTTTTTCCCTTTTAATCAGTTCCTGTCCTGAAGGCTGAGCACACAGTTCAGTTAAATAAGAAAAACAGTTAAACAGGTCCTCATTTATGTTTTTATTTATTTATTTGAAAAAAGAACTTTCTAGTGGGTTTGAACTGAGGAAGTGATATCCGGTCATATGGAAAGTAGAGTTTCATCAGGAGTCGAGTTCCTTGTGAAATAGCACGTTCAGCTCCTGGTTAAACTGATTCCATGTCCATTGCCTGTGCTTAATCTTTCCTGTGACAGCACTCCATTCAGTTGTTGAGGCCTTCAGCAAGATCAGGGATGAAAAGATTGACATTAATGAACTGGAATCCGTTCTGGGATGTCTGGGAATTACATGCAACAGCGAAGAGATCCAGAAGGCATTACAAACTATCCCTGTGGATGGTGAGTGGGCTTGTCTTCCTTTCTGCAGCCCCTTGGTGGCAGTAGTGAGCTGGCTTTAAAATCAACCCGGAAAGAAACTGACCTGTGGCAATAGCCCGTTACCCAGTGGGAGGTTTTTAGCTTCCAGGCAGCCAAGGCTGAATGAGACAGGACACAACCTGCCAAGATGACATTTCCCTCAGTGCAAACTCTCAGTGTGGAGAGAGGCTGCCTGACTGCGGTGGGGCACAAAAAGAGTGAAGGCAGCTTACTGAGTGCCCAAGCCCTGTCCTTTTAATGAGAATTTAAAGAGGCCCCCATCTTTATCTGTTCCGCTGGGAAGTTACAGGGGAGTGAAGAGTTATAGTAGCAGTTGCTTGTTGAAGGAGACCGAATCCCCAACCTCAGGGAAGCTTTCAGATGTTGATTCTTCTTCAGGCGCCCTACAATGCACTCTCCTTCAGCCTGAAGCCCAGACCAGCCTGAGGTTGGGAAGATCTCTGCAAGTCCCACTGATCTATGTGTGTCAAGATCTTCTACCTCAGAATAAGTTTCAATAAGATATAACACTTAGCGTGAGATGCTCAGTTTCCTCCAAAATGATATGGGTTCTTTATTATCCAGAAAGTCTTATATATGGCCAGGCCCCACATACCTTAGGGAGTATCTTCTTCCATATGAACCTGCCATTGCTTTGAGTCCCCACTCCGTCTTTCATATGGCCAACTACATATGCTATCCAAGTCAAATTTGGCACAGATTTTATCTGTGTGTGGCAGGAGGATTCTTTCCCCTTGGATCGTATGGCTTATATCACTTGTTCTGTTTATCAGGATCGTCCCATTTCTACAGCCCCATGTTTTTCTTGTAGCCTAGACATTTTTGTTGGCAAGCTGCTGAGTAAGGGGGAAGTGTGGTTCTCCCATACCAGGGAGACGGGTTGGACTTGATGGCCTCACGAGTCCCTCTTTCCAAACTCACAGCATCTTGGCTTTTCAGAAAATGGAAAGGTGCACTTCAAGGACTTCCTCGTCAACTTGACAAGCAGTGAGCATTTCTCTGAACCTGCTGGTAAGTAAGACTGTGAAGTTTGAAGGGATCTGAGAGAAGGGCCAGAATCAGGCAAGTGGGTGGGTGTGTTGTCAAAGGCATGCAGACAGTGCTATTCCAGAAGGCAGCAGTCCAGGCTAACCTGGGCATCTCTGTGGCAGGCATGTTGAATCTCTTTCACCCTGAGGTCTGAAATTAATTTCAGGGAAGTACTCAGGAGCAGCATTTCAGTGGTGGTGGGGCCGAAGGCCAAAGGAGTTGAGGCAGAAACAACAAAAGATCATCATATTTAAACAATCTTACTGCAAGTAACTAGCCTTTACTAGAGGTATTTCAGCAAATAAGGGCAAAACATCCAAAATTTGGGAGAACGCCAGACAAGTGGTAGTTGGGGGGAAGGGGGAGGTGCCATGGGAAGGGGTAAGGGCCGTCTGGGGAACCTGAGAGGGCCAGATTGGGGGACCTAGGTAGGTTACATTTGACTCACAGAACTAAGGTTCAACACCTGGACTCTAGAACAACTACTTTATCGGTTCAAACTAGAAACGCAGGCCAGAGTGAAAGAAAGCCAGTTGGACCAATATGAGTTTCCCATACTGCACTAATAATCTCTAAAATATTGTACCAGTTATTCTATGTGTGGCACTGCTCAGCATCGATGCCAGTGTTTTCCTCTTTGAGTTGTTCCATGGAAATGAGTGGGATCGGGGCTAAGACCTTGCTGCCAGATTTTCTGGTTCAAATTCTCCTGGCACTGTACACTTGTGAGCTTTGTGTCTCAAATCCAGAAAGGAAGACACAAAGAAAGAACTAGAGAACCTGGTATACATATGAGGGGGGATCCAAAACCTCAGGAATTTATTTATTAAAAATCATGTGTTTAGTTTTGCATGTTTAAACTTCAGTCACCTTCAAAGTATGCTCTGTTTGATGCAATACACCTATCGAGATTGTTTTTCCACTGTTCAAAACAGGTTTTGAATTCATCAATTTTGATGCCTTTTAGCACATCTGCCATTTTCTGTTTCACCTCCTACATCAGCAAAACATTTCCCTTTGAGGATGTTTTTCATCCAGATAAACAAAAACAAGTTGCACAGGGTCAGACTGGGTGAATAGGGATAGTGGGCCACAAAGGTCATGCTATTTTTGGTCAAAAACTGCTGAACACTCAGCTGAACAAAATTTCACCACTACAGGTTTGTGTAAATCAGCCATCATGAAACAGGCAAACATGTTGAAAGAGTCTCCAGAAAAACCTGTGAAGCCGAATGCAGCCTCTCACAACAACCCAATTGGGTACACTGATGCAGAGGGGTTCCTAGAACACTCACCCAGTGGGGGAAGCCTGTACTACAAGGGGCCCAGCCTCAAGAAGATAATTCCTGTTTTTTTCTGTTTTTGGGTCCCCCTTCATATGAGGTCCAGATTTGATATGCCACATCTCTATTCTCAAGGAGCAAGTTTGAAAAAGAGCTCTGCTTCTTGTTCTCACTCAGTATAACAGCCTTCCAAATATCCCCTGATATTAGGATGTGTTTACAAGAGGCTATTCATCCTATCTTCATTGTGAGGTATTCCTTCCTGTGAATTCCTCTCCCAAAACATGAGAATGTAACTAATTTGTCTGCCATGTGAATGTTGCTGTAACTAATCTTGCAGATAAACATTCTCATCTTAAGAACTCAGAACTGCTCCGTGTTAAAAAAAAAAAAAAAAAAGTATGACAGTATATGTTGGTAAAATTGAATATATATGCAGAAAATTTATAAGCAGTTATACATCATTTTGCACCTTGGCACCTCTCTGTTGAGGTGCCAGGCAGGGTCCCTTTCTCTAGCCATCTCAGATCTTGCATATGTATACATTATTGCCCCTAGCTATCTCCTTGAGTCCTCTAAGGTTGAGGTTTTTTCCCCTAATCCTATTCTTTATTTCCTCCACATTTCCAGAAATCTTCTAGATCTTCCTGCCATCCATTTTTTTCAACCATCTAAATGCCTATCTACTCTTTCTGTCAATAACCTTCTCTTACTCTTTCCTGCAATTCTTGATATTCTCTAATATATGTTTCAGAGTTGTTGATCTGTACTATTTTTATACTCCTATGGCTGTGAAGATAAATTTGAAAATTATTAATTCTGAGGAAAATGATCTGTGACCATCTTCACTAGCCATTGCTCTGTCTATTACAGCAATAGGTCTTTTAGGTTATCTTGTTGTCATCTTAATGGCTGCCAAGATAATGCTGTATCTTTATATTTGTTCATAATTCAAACTCATCCTATATTACCTTCTCCTTAATTCAAATATTAAGGATTTAAAAGCATTATGGAAACCAGTGTGGTGTAGTGGTTAAGAGTTTGGGACTGGGACTCAGGCGATCTGGGTTCTAGTCCCTAGAACCATGAAGACAGCTAGGTGATTTGAGGCCAGTCACAGACTCTCAGCCCAACCTACCTGACAGGGGTGTTGTTGTGAGGATAAGACTGAGAACAGGAGGAAGTGTAATCCACTTTGAGTTCTTTTAAAAAAGAAAAAGGCTGGGATATAAATCAATAAATAAAGGATACTTCAGCTGAGGAACCACCTCAAAACAATTCATCTATAATTTTGTCCTTCCAAATTGAATAGAGTTGATAGAATCCAGGCCACTTATCAATCAAAATGTTACATATAGTAGTGTCAGAGCTTTCACAAATATGTCAGGGTTGGCACTCAATCTCCAGTGAAAAGATGTTTGGGAAGTTCTAACACTTGCTCCCTGCCCCCCAGTCCTTTTAATCTGATATTCTTAAATCAAACAAGCAATAATTTGAAAGCTATTAATCTACTTAGATAATATTTGCAAATGTGTGAAAAATTATGTTTAAAAAGGGAAAAGACCCCTTTCTTCTAATCAAACTATACTATTTATATTTTTTTACTACAAAACTCCCCGCAGGATAAACTATACCACCATCTATTAAAGATTCTGCTTACATAAAAGCAAATGAGCAAGATACCTCACAAACATATGTTAAATAAATAATCCCCATTTTTAAATACCCCTAAAACTATAATGATACCGCAACATGCCATTGCCTGTAAGTCATCCTTTTTCTTCACATGTTGTTGTCCCTCTGCAAATCACCCCCCATCCCAGCTGCTATCTCCATCAAAGCTGCTGGTTGCAGTAAGTAACACCTTTGAGGGAAAATTAGCAGCAGGAGTGGCAGGAAAACACAACAGGAAAGAAAGGATTAAGTCTGTGCCTTGAGCCCAGTCTGGATTGGAAGCCCCCAAGCTAACTTGGCTCAGAAACTAAACTCAGTACTAAGCCTTTTTTTCTTAAAATTGTGCTTAATGTGACGTGCAGTTTCATCATGAAAAATGTTGTTTCTTTGTTCCTTTTCTCCCTCTGCTCAGGTCAAGGCTGACATTTTCACTACTGCAATTTCTAGACCTCTAAAGTTATCCAGTGATGTATCCTACTTATTTTATTTATTTATGTATTATGGTCATAGACCAACATAACCAATGGGGGCCATTAAACAATGCTTTTCCATTACCCCAACTAAAATAGCAGTTTAAAATTAGCTTAAAAACAAAAGTAATGGATACTAAAAAATTAAAATAGCCCAGGCCACATGACGAAAACACATAATGCCACAAACATATACATAATGGTGGTACTAATAGAACTTTTGTTAAAATCCACTACAGCTTAGTTGTATGAAACATATAAATTTATGACTAAATAGCATAAGATTTTCTTAGCCTAAGTATTGTCCTGCAGAAACTGGATACTTGATATGTGATGTTAGCATCTTTATCTGATGGAAGAAACTCAAGTTTGTCTTTTTCAGAAAGAATCAGATTATCCCGAAAGAGTGGAATGTTGAGCTCACTTATTATTTTTTGGGACTTCTGTTCCATGCTGCCCTATAATCAGAATTCTCTGGATAGCATACAAACAAACAGTCTTCCGCCACAAAACCCCTTTCCCCATTTCCTATGTCTGCTGCCATATTGTGAGGTTTTCCCTACATCTTCTTGTATGGAAGCCAAAGTTAATCATGACCTGGACCAAAGATGCAGAGCAAACTGCACCAGCTGTTTGCAGGGAATATCTGCAGTGAAAACCAAAGTAGATATAACTGTTAGGGTAACTCTGACTTGCTTGTCTCTTTGCAGCTGTACATGATGTCTACAGCTTCATTGACATAGTGGATGATGACAAAGTTGAAGTGTCTCAGCTTAAGGATGTGCTGGCTGCCATTGGCATCACATTAACCAAGGAGGAAATGAAGGAGGCACTGAAGAACATGACGGTGGACAGTAAGAAACCTTGAGAGAGAACCAGTTTAATTGTTAAAGAAAAGTAGTTTTTATAAATGCTAGTCATTTCTATTCTAAAGTCAAAGTAATGTTATAGACCAGACTTTAAAGACCGGTCTATGTAACTTTAGACTGGACAAGTTTTGATCAAGAATTGAATAGCTTTGATGGGATTATGACCGACGGAGATTGTTGCTTTTTTATGAATGTTTTCAAATGTTGTTGTTACATGCTATATTTGTGGACTGACTCTTGGCACCTTCTTTTTCTGTGTTTCTAGTTATTCTTTATTGTACTTTGTGAAAATAAATTTTAAAAGATTTGGGGGGGGGAGGGGGGGAAAGAAATATGTACCAGAGCTGCTTTGTACCTGGGATACTGACAACAGCAACAGTGAGGAATTCTGGGACATGTAGATATACATACTAAAAACTCAGGTTCCTAGAAGCCTATGTTCCCAGGATCCAGTGACACTGTCATTTCAGCATTGAATGGGAAGAACAGAGTATTCCCAGAGGCCACAAAGAAGTTTTTCTTTATCTAAACACCTCACTGGGTAAGTGGAGAGGAAAAGGGCCTGGCTGAACATAGCTCCAAATCAAACTGAAGGGAGTTTGCTCATTGGATGTGACTGGATCAATGCAACAGAGTTACTTGTCCTCTGAGCATAAGATAGTGCTCTGATAAGTCTCCTTCTAACTAGCAAGGAAGTTCAGGATCACATAAATGCAGCAAATTGGCTCCTTCTCTCTCCATTGTGTGGAGTCTAAAGATAAACCTTTTGTGGTATAAGTGTACCTTCAGTTTTAATTCAAAACAGTAGTGTGTCTGCCATATTGGAAGTTTGGGAAAGACAACCATTACCTCTAGGCTGCATTACCTTAGCCAAAGCCTGTCAAGGCTCACATACCAACAGTAAGTGGGTGCCTGGGCCAGAGATGGGTGGGACTAGAGCTAAGAGCAGACAGAGGCTGCAAAGTGAAGGTCTAAGGTCCACATGAAAGGGCAACATCCATATGTGACCTTTGGGTCACAAGCTCCCCAACCCTGACCTAAATTATTGAATCTGATTTATATTTGCAGATCTGGCCTTGAACTCATGACTGCAGGAAGCAAACCCCAACTGCCATTTTATGTCTTGTTCTTCCTAATTTCTCTTTGCTGTCCTTTGTTTTACAGGTGATGGGAAGGTAAATCTGAAAGAATTCATGAAAGGCTTGCCAAAGACACGGCGATTCTCCACAGCTGTAGGCAAGTACAAAACTAACCAATGTTGCCATGTAGGAGCTGTTTACATGTTTATTTGTGTTGAGAATCTTGCCTACATTGGTTCTTCATTGTGTCACCACTTGTTTTTCGCAGAGTTGGAAGGAGCTATGGAAACAATTCATAGAATCAAACAGAACAAGGTGAAAATTGAAGAGCTGGATTCCATCATGCAAACTATGGGCCTCCATTTATTTCCAGACGAAATCACAGAAGCACTGAAGTATGTTACGAAGGATGGTAAGGCTTTTCAGTGAAACTGGAGTTAGGGTCCATGTAAAAATCAACTAGCATAATTACAGTCCAAATTATAATCTGAGAAAAGACCAGTAAATCTGCCGAACTGTTATTTTTCAAATGTGCTACAATTTTAATAACTAATAAATGAATGAACTGAAGGTATAGTTGATAAATCAGAGAAAGCTAGTTTTAATTTGAGGCTCAAGTCAAAGGCTATTTTGCTTCTAGTATACTAATGCAAAAAGGAATGAAAACAAAATATTAATATTGATATTAATATTTATCTTCTAATATTGAAACTGATGACCAATTAAAAGGCTGATTATTAATCAGTTAAATTTGATTGTTTGACAGCCCAACTTGTTTATTTTTCTTCTAGTTTGAAGGAGATTCACTAATTTATTATTTTGCAGCTGATGGGTCAGTCAACATACAAGACTTCCTGTTTAGTTTGACCAAGACTCGGCGCTTTTCCCAAGCTGAAAGTAAGTGAAAACAGCTTCAGGTAATCCCATCTCAGGCTCTCATTGTCCAGATGTGTCAGGATTTCTCCCATCCATCTGTGTCTCCCATCTGCTAGAGCAAAGTTAATGTTGTGTCCTCCAAAGAATTCTGCTCTCAGACCAGACAGGAACTACAGAAATCTCCTTGATAAAAGGCACCACGGATGCATCTGAGATCTCTCATGCTTAAAGTTCCCATAGAGTTGCATTTGACACCATGGAACCTATAGGCCATATGCACCCCACCTTTTACTGAGGCCCCGGCACCCGCAAATGGCCACCTTTTATGGAACTTCAGTGGAATGCAGAAGCAATTAAAAAGTTATAGTTTTGGTTAAAGCAAGTCCTTGTTTTAATGCAAAATTGTGTTTCCCTGGGGCTTCAGGAATGCAATTTGCATCAAAACAAGGCAAGTATGCCCTGCAATGTTGTTTCTTAAGCAAAAATGCAGCTTTCCCCCACCCCAAATTTGTAGCAGCAGTTCAGCAACAGATGTTTTGGTGGTGGCAGGACTATATGCAGTCCATAGTAGATTTTGGAGGTAGACGTTGGCACCCAGACTCTCTGTGTTGTGCACACCTGTCTTAGAGTCTCAAACCAACGCTCCTAGTGTGGTCTGCAAAATCTTCCAAGTTGTTGTTGTTGTTAGTTGCGAAGTCGTGTCTGACCCATGGCAACCCCATGGACAACATTCCTCCAGGCCTTCCTGTCCTCCACCATCCCCCGGATTCCACCTAAGCTCACATCAACTGCTTCAGTGACTCCTTCTAGCCACCTCATCCTCTGCCATCCCCTTCTTCTTTTGCCATCTGTTGTTCCCAGCATCAGGCTCTTCTCCAGGGAGTCCTTCCTTCTCATTCGGTGGCCAAAGTTTTTGAGTTTCACCTTCAGTATCTGGCCTTCTAAAGAGCAGTCAGGGTTGATCTCCTCTAGGACTGACCGGTTTGATCGCCTTGCGGTCCAGGGGACTCACAGGAGTCTCCTCCAGCACCACAATTCAAAGGCCTCAATTCTTCAGTGCTCAACCTTCCTTATAGTCCATCTTTCACAGCCATACATTGCAACTGGGAAAACCATAGCCTTGACTATATGCACTTTTGTTGGCAGGGTGATGTCTCTGCTTTTTAGTATGCTGTCTAGATTTGCCATAGCTTTCCTCCCAAGGAGCAAGCGTCTTTTAATTTCTTGGCTGCAGTCCCCTTCTGCGGAGAACTTGCAGCCCAGGAAAATAAAATCTGTCACTACCTCCATTTCTTCCCCATCTATTTGCCAGGAAGTGAGAGGACCGGATGCCATGATCTTAATGTTGAGTTTCAAGCCAACTTTTGCACTCTCCTCCTTCACTCCCATCAAGAGGCTCTTTAGTTCCTTTTCACTTTCTGCCATTAGAGTAGTATCATCTGCATATCTGAGGTTGTTATTTCTCCCGGCAATCTTAATTCCAACTGGTGATTCATCTAGCCCCGCCTTTCCCATGATGTGCTCTGCATATAAGTTAAATAGGCAGGGTGACAGTATATAGCCTTGCCAAACTCCTTTCTCAATGTTGAACCAATCAGTGGTTCCGTGTCCAGTTCTCACTGTTGCTTCTTGACCCGCATACAGGTTTCTCGAGAGACAAATAAGATGGTCTGGTACTCCCATCTCTTTAAGAACTTGCCACAATTTGTTGTGATCTACACAATCAAAGGCTTTAGCATAGTCAATGAAGCAGAAGTAGATGTTTTTCTGGAACTCCCTGCCTTCTCCATGATCCAGCGTATGTTGGCAATTTGAGCTCTAGTTCCTCTCCCTCTTCGAAATCCTGCCTGTACTTCTGGTAGTTCTCGGTCCACATACTGCTGGAGCCTAGCTTGTAGGATTTTGAGCATAACTTTGCTAACATGTGAAATGAGTGCAATGGTGCGGTAGTTTGAACATTCTTTGGCATTGCCCTTCTTTGGGATGGGAATGTAAACTGACCTTTTCCAATCCTGTGGCCACTGCTGAGTTTCCAAATTTGCTGGCATATTGAGTGTAGCACTTTTACTCCATCGTCTTTTAAGATTTTGAATAGCTCAGCTGGAAGACTGTCACCTCCACTAGCTTTGTTGTTGCTCAGACTTCCAAAGGCCCATTTGACTTCACATTCCAAGATGTCTGGCTCAAGGTCAGTGACCACCCCATCGTGGTTATCAGGGACATTAAGCTCTTTCTTGTATAGTTCCTCTGTGTAATCTTGCCGCCACTTCTTAATCTCTTCTACCTCTGTTAGGTCCCTGCCGTTTTGGTCCTTTATCATGCCCATCTTTGCATGAAATGTTCCCTTCATATCTCCAATTTTCTTGAAGAGGTCTCTGGTCCTCCCTATTCTATTGTTTTCTTCCGTTTCTTTGCACTGTTCATTTAAGAATGCATTCTTATCTCTTCTAGCTATTCTCTGGAATTCTGCATTCAATTGGGGTATCTTTCTCTTTCTCGCTTGCCTTTTGCTTCCCTTCTTTCCTCGGCTATTTGTAAAGCTTCCTCAGACAGCCATTTTGCTTTCTTGCATTTCTTTTTCTTTGGGATGGTTTTAGTTGCTACCTCTTGTACAATGTTGCAAACCTCCGTCCATAGTTCTTCAGGCACTTTGTCTATCAGATCTAATTCCTTAAATCTATTTATCACCTCGACTGTATATTCATCAGGGATATGATTTAGGTCATACCTGAGTGGCCTAGTGCTTTTCCCTACTTTCTTCAATTTAAGCCTAAATTTTGCAACAAGGAGCTCATGATCATGATCTGAGCCACAGTCAACTCCTGGTCTAGTTTTTACTGACTGTATAGAGCTTCTCCATCTTTGGCTGCAGAGCACATAGTCAATCTGATTCTGTGTTGACCATCTGGTGATGTCCATGTGTAGAGTTGTCTCTTGGGTTGTTGGAAAAGACTGCTTGCTATGACCATCGTATTCTCTTGACAAAATTCTACCAGCCTGTGTCCTGCTTCATTTTGTACTCCAAGGCCAAACTTGCCTGTTATTCTGGTTATCTTTTGGCTTCCTACTTTAGCATTCCAATCCCCCATGATGATAAGGTCATCATTTTAAGTGTTAATTCTAGAAGGTGTTGTAGGCCTTCATAGAACTGGTTAACTTCAGCCTCTTCAGCACCAGTGGTTGGGGCATAGACTTGGACTATTGTGATGCTGAATGGTTTGCCTTGGATTCGAACTGAGACCATTCTGTCATTTTGGAGATTGTATCCCAGTAATGCTTTTCCTACTCTTTTATTGACTATGAAGGCTACTCCATTTCTTCTGAGGGATTCTTGCCCACAGTGGTATACCTGATGGTCATCTGATTTAAATTCACCCATTCCTGTCCATTTTAGTTCACTGATTCCTAAGATGTCAATGGTCAGTCTTGTCATTTCTTGTTTGACCACATCCAGCTTGCCTTGATTCATGGATCTTACATTCCAGGTTCCTATGGAATACAGATCTTTGCCGCATCAGACTTTGCTTTCACCACCAGATACATCTGCAACTGAGTGTCCTTTCGGCTTTAACCCAGTCGCTTCATTCTTTCTGGCGCTACTATTACTAGCCCTCCACTCTTCCCCAGTAGCGTATTGGACACCTTCCGGCCTGATGGGCTCATCTTTCGGCGTCATATCTTTTTGTCTTTTGGTACTGTCCATGGGGTTTTCATGGCAAAGATACTGGAGTGGGCTGCCATTTCCTTCTCCAGTGGATCACGTTTTGTCAGAGCTCTCTGCTATGACCTGTCCATCTTGGGTGGCCCTGCACAGCATAGCTCATAGCTTCATTGAGCTACACAAGCCCCTTCACCACGACAAGGCAGTGATCCATGAAGGAGTGACTTGCAAAATCTTCCAAGTATATCCTCTTAATCCAAATAGAACACAACAGTCCCAGTTATGGATGCAAATAAATGTTCAAGCAATTATGTGGAACTAACTTGCTCTGCAGATGACAGGCCAGTTCTGATTGACATTCCTAAGAAGTGAGAATGGATCAGATACCATCCGAATGACAAAAAAGATGCTACTGGTGCTGTGTATACTTGAGATGGTAGCAGCTTCTACCATCACTAAGGGAAGCTGATTGCATAAAACATCCACTGTATCTTAGAGGTCTTGTAAAGCTTCACTACTGTGCATCTATAGCTGTCTAAAAGGTCTTAGGCTGGGCCTCCAAGTGACAGGAGCAGAGATGAACAACAAGAATTTGGACTAAGTTGGAATATGATAGAGGGCATAATGGTGGGTGGAGGAAGGGAACAGACACTGTATACCACAAAATATTCCCAAGACACTAGTTGATGATCAGAGAAGATGATAACTGAATCCCAGAAAACAGACAGTAATGCAGACCAAAATCCTTCTAACCACCTTAGTTTTCTTTGAAAAAATGGTGTCCCTTCACTGTAAAGATACAAAGAAAAGTCCTTTGTCAGCATGTAAAACTCTAATTTGTCTTTCTTTTAAACCTTTACGGCAAGACAAAGGGATGCATGTGGTCCATTACTTTAAAAGGTTGACTTCTCCTTTATCCACATTAGCTTCCTTTTTCTTCTCATCTCTAAGGGAACAGGGTTCCCATCAAAAACCTGAATGCCATTCTGGAAAACATGGGGATTAATTTAACTGAAGAGGAGATGCAAGCAGTCCTCAAGCAAGTTACAGTTGATGGTAAGACCCAACAGGACCACCAGTTCTTATTGTGATTGTCAACAATGTGTTAAGAACCACTTGTTGCCAAGATGAGTGGGTTCACATGGCACAGCAGCCAATGGACAATAGTCAACAAATGGTTATTGGACTGTTTGAACCCAAATAGTGTGAGGTGGTTGCATGAGGCAGCAAATTCTGAGTATTATGAAAGGGTAGCAAATAGTTATTTATTTTAATTATTCTTTTTGTATTGTACTGCCAGGAATAGGGAGAAGCCCTTATTGAACTTTCTCCTTCCATTGCTAAAATAACTCAGTTGGCCTTGGGTACTTGGAGAAAGGACACTGATTGCTTCTCCAGTACCCTTAGGCAATAAAATGTCATCTCACATCTCTGAGTCCGGGTGTTCCTATTCCTGTCTGGTGGCAGCTTCCTCTTCATGGGATTCCCTTATGGGCTAGTGGTGTTGTCACAATAACCACCTGCTACCAGGCTACAGTTTCCTCCCTGGCATTTCCCATTGGCTCATTTCTCTATCCCTTTTACCCAGGCCCCATATGCCCCATGGATCCCTTTCTCATTTAGTAGGGCCTTGATGAAGAGGAACACCCCCTGAAAGGCCCACTCTGTGCATATGAATACTTCATCTCTGTCTCTCTTTCTTCCTTTCTTTTTTCCTTATTGTCCCTTTTTTTCTTTTCTTGTCTGAGTGTTTCCATTTAGAATTTGCAGTGTAAGAACTGTGGGTCTTGATCTAAAATGTGTCCCCTTAGTGCCATCCATTTTGGTTCCTTCTCATCTTAATACTCACATTTATACCCTTTCAGCGGAAGGGAAGGTAAACCTTAATGAAATAATGAAGTCTCTTGGAGGTATGCAGCAGCTCCCACAACCTGAAGGTAAGTGGGACCTCTGCTACAAAAAACGATAAAATGAGTGCATGCATTATTGGGTGCCTACCCAATATCAGCTTGAATTTGTTCCTCTTTCAGTAGTGAAGCGATGGTAGAAGCCAGTTAATTTGGGCCAAGCTTAATTAAAGCCGAGTCTACCACCAGCTCTGTTTCTAATTGCTTACCTCAGCTTTGCAAATGTGGTAATTCTTTCAAACATATGTTTGTTCAGACAGCCCACAATTTGAAGCTTTTCTCATTTGTTTAATTACAGTGACTAGACAGCACAAGGGTGGTTAATAAGTCACAGTGGCTTCTTAACTTCCTTGGGCATATTGGTTGTGCACTGTCTAACCCCTTTGCTATTTAACATCTACATGAAACTGCTGGGAGAGGTCATCAGGAGGTGTGGGCTGCAGAATCGTCAGTACGCTGATGATACCCAGCTCTACCTCTCATTTTCCACCAATCCAGGTGAGGCAGTGGCTGTGCTGAACCGGTGCCTGGCCGAGGTAATGGGCTGGATGAGGGCCAATAAACTGAAGCTCAATCCAGACAAGACGGAGGTCCTGTTGGTGGGTGGCTCGGGCCTCGGGATGGGGGACTTGGGCCTTGTCCTAAATGGGGTTGCGCTCCGAGGGACAGGGTTCGCAGCTTAGGAGTGCTCCTCGACCCTGAGCTGTCTCTAGAAGCTCAGGTGACGGCGGTGGTGAGGAGCGCCTTCCTTCAGCTTCGGCTGATATATCAGCTGCGTCCCTTCCTGGAGAACGACTGCCTGGCGACAGTGACACATGCGCTGGTAACTTCCCGATTAGATTTCTGTAACGCGCTCTACGTGGGGCTACCCTTGAAGACGGTCTGGATACTTCAATTGGTGCAGAATAGAGCTGCCAGGTTGCTGACGGGGACTGGGCATTGTTCTCATATAACCCCAGTTCTCCAGGCTTGGGACCTGGTTATCTAAAGGAACGCTTGCGTCCATATATGCCCTCCCGCCCCTTGAGATCAGCAACAGATGCCCTTCTCTGGGAACCCTCTGTGAATGATATTAGGAGGGTGAGTACCCGGAGGAGGGCTTTCTCTGCGGAGGCACCCCACGAATGGAATGCGCTCCCCAGAGAGGTCCGCCTGGCGCTGTCGTTATGTGTTTTTCGGCGCCAGGCTAAGACCTTTTTATTTAAAACTTATTTTAATTGTTAAATTATTGAATGAATTAGGATTTTAAAACTTTTAGCCGAGAATGCACCGGGGGTTTTTAAATGTTTTTTAATTGTTATATTATTGTTATTTATGTATGTTTTTATGTATTCTTTGTGAGCCGCCCCGAGGCTTTGTTGCGATGAGGGCAGCATAGAAATGTTTTAAATAAATAAATAAATAAATAAATAAATAAATAAATATGTTCCCTTGGAATAGCTTGTATGTTGTCCTGGTGAGGGTGGATGGTTGGGGTCCTTAAGAGAACTCTTCATCTGTTGTATGGGTGCTGGGTGTTTTGGCAGCCACCAACCCTTGGTAGGTTTGGACATCACCACAAACCACGACAAGGTCAGTCAGGAGGAATGCAGTCATCATGGCTTACTAACCATCTTTGCATCATGCAGACCAGCTCACTGTATTAAGGTGTAAGGTTCCTTCCATGTCCTAAGGACCCTTATGCTCCTGCAGCCATGACCTGGGGTTTTCCATTATCTGCTCATAAATTCCCTGTTACCTCTATCCACTTGAGATTCAGGACAGGCAAAATAAAATAGTTTGCGTAGTTTATTCACAGATTTTTCTGTTGCTGGATGTGCTGATGGCTACTGACCCAAATTGTGTTTGAAGGCTATTAGACTAGTTCATGGAGGACAGATTGTTTCATAGCTATTGGTCAAGGAAGCAAAACAGAACCTCCATATTCAGAGATTAGATATTGCAGTCATCTGTGCAAAACAGTTCTTGCCCTTTAGCTCTGCTGGTGAGCTTCCCAGAGGCATCTGGCTAGCCACTATGGGAAGCAGGATGCTGGGCTAGGTAGCCCTTTGGTTTGATTCTGCGGGGCAGTTCTTACATGGCTTTTTTTTAAATCTTACATAAACTAGACATAAGGCTTTGTTGGCGAATTAATTTCTCAAGTCGGCCTTCATTCCATTCCACTGTCCAGGTGCCCAAGGGAATATGGTTGCTATGGAAGATGTGGATTCCCTTTTGTCCAACATGGGGATCCACTTAACCAACGAGCAAATGCAAGAAGCACTGAAGCATGTGACAGTGGATGGTGAGTAAGCCTGAGAAGAGAGATCTTTCTGTGAACACTTAACAGCTATTCCAGAAACTCTGTCAGTGTCCTGCTTACTGGCGCATGACGAACTACTTTCATTGCCTCCCATCACCTCAGAACTTCAATATTGTTTCCATAAGAAGGGATGTAATACTATTCACACGTTTCTGAGCTCAAATAGAAAAACACTCTGTAGCACTTCTTCCTGTTCTTATATACATCAGAATATTTTCACAACCATGTAACCGACAGAAGCAGCAAAGATAAAAAAACAGTTATATATTTTTGCACAAACACTTGTTAGAATATTCACACAGACTTTCCACTTTCCTGTTCACTTCTAGCATTCCAGCAGTGCCACTGCTGCTAAGGAGTGAAGAGATCAGGCCGGGAAATAATTTTAATCCCAGCTGGGATGGAATGTACACCTCAACAAGGAGACAGGGCATTACAGTGGTACATACAATAGAAATCAAAGTTACCTCCTCACTCAGTGCCTTGGGAGAGCCAGAGACAAGGGTAGGGTAACCAGCAGGGCATTGGTCAGACAAGCAGTCATCTGAAGCATTCAGTGTGAATTCCTATGCACACTACACATTAAAAAAAATAAATTTAAATAAATTTAAAAATTAAGTAAAAATTAAATAACGTTTGCTTGCTTGCTCAGAGAAAGCCATGGTGGAGGTGCGGGAGTCCCACAGCTTTCTCCGAGTAAGCCGCTCTGCCTCAGCCTGTTTGCCCCTGGCTCGGTGAGGCGGTGGCAGGCCCGGGCTCGGCAAGGCAGCAGGGGCGGGCCCCGGTTCAGCGAGGTGGTGGTAGCGGTGGCAGCAGGCCTGGGCTTGCATAATTAAAAATAGATTTTAAAAGTTATATTTTTGTTACCTGTTTGTTACCTTTAATCCTGTCTTCAACTTCGTCTCTCTTTCTCTTCTGCCTGCCTCTCTTCTGTTTCCTGCTCTGTATATACTTGCAAAGGGGGGAAGGGGGGGAGCCGGCGCACATGCAGTTGAGCTGCTGCAATTTGGCACATGTGCCAGCTCTCTCTTTGCTCAGTTTTAAAGAATGCCTGTTCAGAGCTTTTGGACTCGCTTGGAGATCATCTCCGAGCGAGTCCAAAACCTCTGAGGTGGGCTGGATAAATGGGCATGGCAGGCTGGATTCAGCCTGCAGGCCATAGTTTGAGGACCCATGATCTAGGGCAATCTTCTCTGACACCCTCCAGATATATTGGACTCCATTATCCCCAGCCAATAATAGACCTGCATGATGGGGGTGATAGGAATCATTATGATTAACTTTTATATGCTGCTTTGTAAACAGCCTTGAAAGCACTGCACAAGAATTTGTAAACACAAACTTTAAGGTGCATAAATTGAAAAGGTGCCTTCTGAAGTCTAAGGAAATAGGGCCAAGAGAGTGAGGAAACATGCTCCAAAGTTTGGAGACAGTACAGAAGAAAGGGCCTCTTGAGCATGTCTTAATACTTGGGCAGGTGCATAGCAAAGCAGGCAGTCCTGTACATAGCCAGGCACTAAGCCATGCAGGACTCTGAAGCTGAAAACTGGTGCCTTGCATTATACCTGGAAAGCTGTTGGCAGGAGAACCTGGTGAATCCTGTCAGTGGGGCTCCTCATCCTTTGCAGCTTTTCTTTCGAGCTTTATAGAAGCTATCCATGGTGCTTCATGATGGTGTACTTGTTCTGCACCATGGGTAGCTCCAATAAAGCTCAAAAGGGAAGCTGCAGTGAATAAGGAGCCCCACTGCCCTAGCCTTCCCTGACTATTGGCCACCTGTGCAGGTATTTCAGGACAGATGTGCAAAACTGATGCTGTGCACCAGTTAGGCAAGCTACCTCATTCTACACCATAACTGAAGCTTTTGGGCACTCTTCAGGAAGTGGAATGTATTGTAGTATTTTGAATGTCATGTAACATTCAAATGGCTTGAATAACTGGAAAGTACAAGCATTGGGCCAGCGTTTATGCAGTCAAATTAGGATGATTCTGGGTGTTTTGCCACTTTTTTGTTCCAGCCAATGTTTTAGCACCTAAATCCCCCCAGTGTGTATGTGTTTGTAGAGAGAGAAAGAGAGTGTGTTCCCCCCATTCCCATTCCCTTTTACTTTAACTTTATTTATTTCATGTTATATGTACAATATGCAGAATATACCATATCTTGGCCATATGTAGTTTTGGAATTTTCTTTATATTAAGGATTATAAGCATTGTTGGGGTAGTTTGACTATTATCTTTTTATTATATTAGTTTTCAACCTTTTTATTTTTCTTTCTTTTTTATTTTATAGGTTAGGTAAATAAGCTTATTTTGAATCTGTGTGAAACTTTGGATAATGTAATGTGCTACACTCATGCTTTATGTGCTGAACAATTCAGAAGCGGGTATTCTCAGTAGAAATAGTGAATTTTTTCCAGTTGTAGGGGCAAAAAATATATTTACTATTTTCTCTTGTGACCTCCTGGAATGTCAGGGGGTTGTAGAATCCAGCTAAACAAAAGAAAGTATTCTCTAAGGGAGAGACATACCATAGCTATGTTGCTTTTCTACCAAAAACATATCTGATGGTGACAGATACATCCCAGATGAGAAGAAATTGAGTTGGAGAGGCTTTATGAGCAGAGGTAGTGGATACTTCAATGCGTCTTAAAGGGTAGCAGTTTTAATCCAGATTTTGTTCTCAGTTCAGCAAGTCTTGTGCCTTTGATCAGCAGAAGAAGCTTTATAGAACATGGATTACCTGCTGATTCCTACACATCAAGCTGTGGATAAAGACACCATCACAGTGGCTGGAAAAAACATGGACAAACCTAATCTTAATTTCCACTGTGCATTTACCCATCTCTCTCTGGTTTTGTTTCTTTCGTGCTCCCCTGAAGTGGATCACACAGCATCTGCATGTTTCTACAGCTCCTGACATGTCCCTTTGGCTTAAATAGTGGTCCTCAATGTTCCCTGTTGCTGTCCAGTAGAATGGACCACTTTTCCCATCTTGTTTTCCAGGGAATGGAAAAATTAACTTCAAGGACTTCATGATGGGGGTGAGGACTGTGCAGCTAGGTGCAGAAGGTGAGAACTTGAGATGTTTCAGTTATGAAGGGCTGTGGTCGAGAGATGGAGCACCTGCTTGCCATGAGGAAGGTCCCAAGGTCAGTCCCTGGCAGGTCCAGGTCCAGGTGGAGCAAGGAGCCCTTGCCTGAAACCCTGGAGAGCGGCTGCCGGATAGTGTCAACAATTCTGGGCTGGATGGAACCACTGTCTAACTCAGTATGAGGCAGCTTTCTACATTCTTAATTATGACAGACTGAAGGACAACAAAGAGCAGCTGTCTCATCATATGAAGCTAAGGGAATTGCACCTTAGCATTTTCATAATTTCTTCTCAGAGTCTGCAGAGAAAGAGTAGAATCTGAGGCTGAGGGGACAGAATGAAAGAGGCAGGCTTTTGTTTGCTGTCCATGTCCATCAGCTGCCACTCCTGACCTACAAGGCATGAGCAGGCTCTTCCCCCAACCCACCAAATGTTGCCCTCTGCTTCCATCCAGTTTCCACTTGGTTCTGCTCCTCCCATCAAGTTCTGCCCTGCCTGGTGAGGCACTACTGGGACATTGTGAGCCCTCAGAAGGAAGTGCTGGAAAATGAGTGTGCCTCTGTTCAGATGCTGGAATCCATTTGTGAGGTGAGCAGAGCCCTGCTCTTAGCCTGTTGAAAGCAGCTGTGCAGCAGGGCATTGTTCGCTCCAGAAATGCAGTAGTTAAACATGGAGGGCCAAATCGCATTCTCCAGCGGAGGGATGGCTGTGCATGCGTGCCTCTTTAACACTTTTGCAAATAGTACCTGGGGGTCTCCCATTTGTGCTGTTTTTGTTGAACGAAAAAATCACTTATTTGGCCTATTAGTAATGGGAGAAGTAGTGACTCTGTATGTGTGTCTTTGTGTATACTTTCATTGGAAAAGAAAATCACTGAGAAAGGATAAAAAAACAAAATCTCTCTGCTGTAATTGTCTGGATTATGACCCCTGCTCAGCTTCTCCTGACAAGAATGTTAAAGAGGCATAGATGTATGCAAGCATCTCCATCATAACATATAGTTTGCTCCCAAACTTGTTACTTTTTGTTAATCTCTGTCTATTTAAAATATATGCAGTATTGCTGTAAGCTTCTTCGTTTATGAATCAGTCCTCAGTGGGTTCACACCCATAGAATTGCTGGGCTAAGTGAGATGGTGGTGCTAGAGTAATTAGGTAGATCCAATCCACTTTACCAATCCAGCAGCATGAAATTTTAGAACTGATCCTGGATAGAAGGTTGTAATAAATTCACATTTGTTATTGATTCTTAACCATAACCCTACTGGCCAGAGGCAGTAGTTTTTTTCCCCTGCATTCTTCTGTATGGCACCAAGCATCTGTGACACAAAAATTTCTGTTTAATAATTGAAATGTAAAATTAACTTAATGTTTTTCTTTAGTCTGGCACTATACCTCCAACCATAAGCTTTCACACAGGCTTGTGAATAATACCATAATAATTCCTACTGATATTGTTTGTTTGTTTGTTTGCTTGTTCTGTTTGTTCATTAGATTTATTTGAAAGCTGCCTATTAGCATCTCACTCTGGGGCAGCCAGTACAATAAAATTGCCAGTAAGTAATATAAATACAGTGATTCAATTAAAATTAAAATCATAATAAATAGACAGGATAAAATAACATATAAATATCAAGTAAAGATAAAACCAGTTAAATATTAAAACTGGTGCAAATTAATACAAAAATATTCTAAGTGGTACCATAGGTGTGCTGGGTAAGAAAGGTTTTTGTCAGGCTCCTAAAGCTCATGACTAATCTCTGATGGTAAAAAATTCCATAATTTGGGGTCACTTGTGACCCCAAAAGGGAAATTAATTTCTGTAAAACTTCCCTCCTGGTTGCCCTGGAGGCAATTACATTATAACAGAAGTCACCAGTGGTTTTTTGAAAGCCTGCCATAATAAAGAAATGTGAAATGCAAAACATGGACAATGCTGATGCCTGTTCATTGAATCAAGGGAAAATGGTTGAGATTGATGACTTGCGTTCCACCCTGACTGGAATGGGCATTCATCTAACAGAAAAGGAGATGGAGGAGACTTTGAAACATATCACTCTTGATGGTAAGTCGCAAAAAAAGGGCTTATGATGCAGAAATTAAAATGCAAGGAAGCTCTGGCTCCAGAACATGGCATTCCTTAGTACCGCACAACAATAAATGCCAGTTTGAATGTTGCAGAAGAAGCAGGAAGTGATCTCTTCAATCACAGTGCAGGGACTAGTGCTCTACTTCAATTTCATTGGCTTTGCATTTTTTCAACAGCCACAAAAGGGCCCACAGCAGCAGTTAACAATTCACATATGCTAAGAGAACAAGTCCTTGCTGGAAATAATGCCCAAAAACATTCTCTGAGGCTTCTCCTGTTTTCCTTTCTCCGGGTCCCCAACCATGTTTGACCCATGAGCACATTGGGGAGAGAGAAAAAAATAGAAGCAGAAGCATAATCAGCTTGACTTTTGTTTTTGGATGTCTGAAATTACTGTTGTTGGACTCAAATCACAGGGAGTTCCATAGTGCATCATTTTATTCCTCCTTATTCATTGTTGGTGTGTCTCTTAGTGCTTTTATGCCACTGAATATTTTTCTGTTCTGTTTTTATATTTATTTGTTTCCTGTGGAGGCTTTCTGCCCTGCTCTAGGTTAAGTCTGGGATTCTTACTAGATGATCCTGCCTGTCCACCAAAAGGAGGTGCTTCTTCAAGCTTAAGACCTAGAAGGCTGAGAATGGAAATGTACAGTGAATTTAATTTTTCCTTTCTCCTATGACAAAACATTTCACACACACCATTCCCTACTTAGGGTGGTCCAAATGGTGCATGTGTGGTTTGTTCTGCCCCCAAATGCTTTCCATTCATAAACTAGCCTCTTTAAAAACCTGAGAGCCAATGTTAAGCACTGGAAGAAGAGCGGAAGGGTTTGCTCATGGCTGTGTGGCATAAAGAAAGTCAAGAAGAATTGAAGGTGCCGTCCTCTTCCCTCCCCCATTCCAAATACCTTTATGCACCCCATTGTATGTGAATGGTCATTTTCTTTGTAGGAGATGGCAGAGTGAACTTGAAGGATGTACTGGAGAACGTCATGCTTCAGAAGCAGTGTTTCAAGCTTGAAAGTGAGTTGAATTGAAAGAGGAGGTATGGATGTCTATAGATGAACCCAGGATAGCTTTCTTAGCTTAAAGTGTTAAAATGCCTTGGAAAATGCAACCAAATACAGGTGTGTCCAGAAAGTAATGAGAATGAAGTCCCTACGCTTGAGAAGGGCTCTGTGAAGGGAGAAGCTGGCCAAGGTCACTTGGGGTGGAGTGCCAGGTAAACATTAGAATACTGATCAGTTGCATTCCAGCTCTGTCAGAGTCGAGACATTCTTTTTTTGAGACGCCCTGTTCAAGTGCCTTGTATTGAGAAAAATGCAAGTAAGTTTGGAACAGCAGTACATGATAAAATTGTGTGAAATTGGGTAAAAGTGCATCAGAAACTTTGGAAATGGTGAGGAAAGCTTATGGAGAATCTGTGCTATCATCTGCACAAGTGTACCGACGGTACAAGTTGAGATCGGCTCAACTTGGATCCTTCATCATGACAGCGCACTGAGTCACAGTGCTTTAGCTGTCAGAGAGATTTTGGCTAAAAACACATCATGGTGCTTTCCCATCCTCGCTACAGCCCTGACTTGGCTCCTTGTGACTTTTCCATCTTCCCAAAGATGAAGAATGCCTTGAAAGGACACTATTTGGTATTGTGGATAATGTCCAAAGAGCCATTACGCAGGTTCTGAATGCCATCCCACTTGAAGACTTCCAGGGATGCTATGAAGAACAGAAAAATTGCTGGGAGTGTTGTGTATACTCACAAGGTGCATACTTTGAAGGACACAATGTTCAATTGTAAAATTTTTCAATAAAAGAATTTTTAAAATATGCTCATTACTTTCTGGGCACACCTCATATGTGCCACTGAGAAGACTTGCAAATGGCTTTCCCTGGTGATCTTAGTGCAGGGGTCCCCAGCTTTTTCGGACCTGTGGCTACATTTAGGAATTTGACAAACTGCCATGTGCTCTGCCATGATGTGCCTAATTGGTAGATCACTGTTTTGTCTGCCTGCCTCATCAATTCAGCCAATACATTTGTTTCATGTCTGTTAGACACTGGGAAAAACCCTTTACTAAGTAATAATAAATATTTTTAAGGGCTTGTGTAATTCAGCTAATTGATGATAGTGCAATACAGCTGATGTGTCCTTCAAACATATATTTTGGCAATGTGCAGAATTTGCTTTCTTTGAGGTGGAAGTTATTACACAGATAAATTTTGTACTGGGACAGTCTTTAATATTCATTGTACATAGACTAATAGAACAGTAGAGCTGATAAGACCATCAGGCCAATAAGGCCGTTGAAAGCACAACTCAGTGCAGGACTTCCGTGCTTGTTTAAATTGTTTACCTGCTTCATGGAAATCAGCAATTGGAAGGATCAGCTTTCCCCATCTAGCATGTCATGGACTACAAACCTAGCAACAATTTCAGTATATGAATGGGTGGCCTGTAGATGCCAGCTTCTAATGGATTCTTAGCTATTTGATTTGCTTTTGCTGAAGCCTGTGTATAATTGCTAGAAGGCTGTGTGCATTTCATGCAAATTCATGTAGGCATATTAAAATAGTTATTGTAATGGCTGCCCAGACAGCACGATGCTAAAGGACAGCTTTTATACAAATCCAGTAAATAAAGTTATAATAAAAGAGGGGAAGTAAAATATAATAGCTTTGACTGTAAACCAGCATTCCCCAAATGGTTCAATAGTCTTTGTCTAGCTGAAATCTTCATCTACCATGTCAGACTGTGCTTTTCTCCCCAGCTGCAGGAGAGAGGGTTGATATTCAAGAACTAGACAACATCTTGGCCAGTGCAGGCATTCATCTCACCAAAGCAGAACTGCAGGAAGCATTGAAAAACAACCCAGTGGATGGTTAGTGTTAACTTTCCAGGAATTCTGGAAAGTAGTTGAGATTATTTGCAAAATGGGAGGCCTGGCATTCAGCACCAAATAAACACTCCCACACTCACTTAAATGCCACAACCAGAATGTCACATATTCTGTGATGTGTGCATAACAATGAGGATTTGAAAAGTGTAATGCTTTAAAAAGGAATGCATACAATATCCATTTTGTGTAATGGTGGGTGTTTTTCAGTTTGGAATATGTCCTTTTTATGGGTTGTTGTGGATGCAGAACTTGAAGGCGGGAGGTTGTATTTCAAGCCAGAGGAACAGATAGTGGAAAGCAGAGGGTGGAGAGAATGGGAGTGGAATGTGAAGGACTCTTTTCCTCCTCAGTTTCTCATGGGAATGATAATTCTGAAAACATAAGCTAAACTTATCATTAAAAATAAAGTTCAAATAATTAACAATCTTACAGCAACACAAAATTGTATTGCCAGCTATTGGAAAACTATACACAGTATAACTATAACTACAGAATTGCTTTAAAAGATTTGGGATATTACATTGTTAACAGAGATAAGTTAGCTTTTCAGAAATTAAGAAACCAAACCAAGAGATTTATTGTTTATTCCAATAAACATTTGGAATAAAAAAATCTTAATGTACCACCTGCCATGTAAAATGTATACAGCTGGTGGACAGCAATAAAACCAACCAACCAGCCTTCCTTCCTTCCTTTTAATGACATTATTTGTATAGGTCTTGATATGTAGGCAGATTCTGGATCTCTCTATAAATATACAGGTACAAATATGCAATAAAGCAAAACATACTAAGGGATGACCAATGGCCATCAGAAAAAAAATGGCAGCAACGGAAATCATCAGGTGCTGAGGAGAATAAAGAACAGTTTGAACATACTCTGGAGCATCATCTGAGTTGGCAAATGTTTGATTTCTGAAGGAAGGCTGTTCCAAAGCTTGGGTGACACTAGAAAAGAGGTCCTTCCCTGGTTGGCACTAGATAGAGCTCTGCAGGATGTTGCACAACAAGGAGTGCTTAAGATGGTGATCACAACTGCTGAGCAAGATAACAAACATGTGTTCACATTTCTCAGGAGTACTATTTTGTCTTTATTAATACTTAGTCTAACACGTACACAAGCAGCATGTTTCATAAGCTTTTCTATGTAATATTTTCTTACCCAAAGAAACATTATATAGGAAATACTTCCCTCAAACAAAATGGAGGAAGTGTCAATAAAATGCCAGGTAATATGCCTCATGCAGGGAAACCCACAGTCTCTTGAGGAGAGGTCAGTGCCAGACTGTTGATTGGTGCTTCCTCAATTTGGTGCCATATGTGAATTGCAATTCCCATTGATCCAGCACACACAGTTAGTGATTCTGCTCGCTAGAGATGGTGGTGGTTGTAGTCCGACATGTCAGGGTGCGGCTCTAGGCTGGAGAATTGTAACCTCCATCCTTCTCAGCAGCATGGCCTCTGCTTCAGTCTGCTGGGATTTTCTGATCCCAGCTCTTCTTTTTCTCTCAGCTGAAGGGAAGGTGAACCTGGGAGAGTTTATGAAGAGGGTGAGGACAATCCAGCCACACGCTCAGATTGGTAAGTCGAGTTCATAAGCAGGCTGAGGATGCACTGTGAGAGCGGAAGGGGCTACAAGTGTCCAATGTGCATTTCTGCTTGTTTTTGTGTAGTGCCTCCCATTCCTCTCCATGTGAGGCAATGTAAAATGCTGAGGTGGTCAAAGCCAGCTGTGTGAGTGCTTTGGAAAGTGGGCAGAGCACTAAGGCAGCCCTTTGCTTGGCACGCCTTCCTTCCTCCTTTGGATGCTCATAACCCTGTGCGTTGAGAGGGTTGCAGGTATCCTGATTGGATCACACCCTTAAAGAATAATTGGAAACGGAGGCTGCGTATCTTCTCATTCTGCAATCTCTTGATTGAGTTTTCGGAAAGGCCAGTAAAAGGTGCATGCGTGCACCTTGGAAGACACCATATGCCATGGCTACATTCTGTTCCTCTCTCCTGTGGCATTTAGATTTCCTCTCCCTTCCAGTTCTTCCCATCTAAATGAGAGCCAGATTGTTGACTTGTTGTCTTGCCTGTCCCTCTTCGCATCTCTTTTCCCTTTGGCCTCATCACCATTACCAAGAAGAGAAGGTTGCTGTTCAGGACCTAGAATCCATTCTGGCCAGCAAGGGCATCTTTTTGAATGACAAGGAGCTCCAAGAAGCCTTGATGCATGTAGAAGTGAATGGTATGTATTTATTGTTTAAATGTTTAACCCATTTAACCCATCTTTCCACACAATGTGACCCAGAATAGCTAATATGATAAATCTTGAATAAATAATATCATAAATATATCATGAATTGAGCTTGTAGGTGAGGATTTGGTTGCATCAGCCATCATTAACCCCAGGGTACAGCATAAGCAAAAGAGGGCAGACCAGCTGAGACTTGTCAGGTGCTCCAAGGGTTTAACCCTCAGGCAAGAGGATTTGTTTTAGAGGCCAGCCTTGGTAATCTGGCTCTGAAAGGAAGGAAGGGTATTCAGTTTGGATCAGCCTCCAATAAATCACACTTCCTCAATAGCTAGTGTTCTAACCATGCTTGTTTCTTTTGTCAGATTTCTGCAATATGTTTTGTTTGTACTTTTAAGCCAGTCTGATTGGCTCACATTAACTTAATAAAGCTTTTCATTAATAAATGTTATCTGGGTTTGCTTGGAAGGGGCAAGAAAAATATGGCCTTGACAGTATGTTACAGTTATATCTAGTTTGACCCTAACTTTAGGACAAAGCTTAGAGGTGCTGAACTTGTGGGCCTAAGTTACGCGTATGTAGTTTGCTGGAGGATCTGTAAGTCCTCAAATATAAGTCCTTAAAGGTTAAAACCACCAGCAGCTTGAATTTAGTCAGGAAGCTAACTGGAAATTAGTGGAGCTCTCTCAAATTAGTGTGATGTGCTCCAGGTGCCCAGCCAGGGATAACAGTACCAAGTTCTGGATCGACCAGTATTTCCAAACTGTCTTCAGGGGGAGCCAGTGTAAAACCAAAGAGGGATTGTGAGAGCAGCAGGCTGACATTTTGACTTCTTTTTCTTTACAGCGGATGGGACAGTAAACCTCAAGGAGTTTGCCAAGGCAGTTCAAGAGATTCGAGGGTTAGAACCAGCTGGTGAGTTGAGAGAACCTTAAAGCCAACACACACATTTCAGCAGATTTTCTAGAAATGCCAGCAATCAGTCATCGCTGAGTTACCTATTCCCTGAAGAATGTAAGGGCTGGTTTGCACAGGATGTTTTATTATAGAGGCAGGGAACCATTTTTGCTAGAGAGTCATATTAGCCTCAGGCTAAGTCATTGATGGCTTCATGTAGCAGTGGGTGAGGCCAGTACCCAAAGTGGATACTCACATGCATTCTCTGCGTTCTCTGCATTCTCTCTCTCTCTCTCTCTCTCTCTCTCACACACACACACACACACAGTCACAGTCACAGTCACTCCCAGAGTTACCTGCATACATACAAACCCAAGGCACATTCAAACATGTTGCCTCACCTCCTCAGCTCTTCCATGGAGTACTTGTGGTGCATTGTGTGCTTCTCTTTCTGAGCACTGAACAGGGACAAGGGCTTGTCTCCAGTCTGCTGTGAACTGAAGATTAGCTACTGTGGCTATGGAGGGAGGGTGCATCTGGGGAGGGTGACAGGGCCTGAACAGCTGGAGGGGGAATTCCTGCGGGCTAAACCCTGCCTGTGAACCAGAGGCTCCCCATACCTACTTCATGGCATGATCACCACAGGCTCAGGTTGCATCCTTGCCTGCATAGAGGAGGTATTGCAAGCAAAACATTCATGCTGCCCCAGGCATGGTGCTTTTCAGCAGAGACACTACATGGATGAACCTGTCAGATTGGATCTCACTCCATTTCTCATTTCACCAACATCATATTTGCTCCACTCCATTTCTGCATGGGATTGCAGATTTTGTTTTTCAGAAGTCCACAGATTTATGTCATGCCCTTTTTTCTTCTAACATACACAGTTCTGTATGCCCTTAATTTAATATATGCATTTTTGCAAGAACAATCCCAATTTACTGCGTGGGTTTGCAGATTACCTTTGTGTGGATCTTCCCCTATTTTTTATTAGGAAAATGGGCCATATAATTTAGGAAAATGTGAATATCATCATATAGCCAGTTTGAGTTCATGTGTAGTTTTAAAAAGTGCTTTTTTTTTTTTTTTGCCAATCTCAAGAAACCAGACACATTCAGTTGTGAGTCACTGAGTACTGAATAGTCACTCAATTCACATGTATATGTGAACTGGTTCCCAAATATATTGTAGCATATGGGTCTGGTGGGATGTAGAGCATTTCTGGGATATGCAAAACTGAGTGCAGTGAAGAAAGTCAAAAGGAGACTTGGGTCTAAACTAGCTGTGACAGAGCGGGCACTTTAATGTGTTAATACATCTACCCTGTTTATTTGCAGCACAAGTGTCTTATCTTAACATCAAACAGGGCAAGTGAGTGGGGAGAGCTAAGCCACCCCCTCCTCACTCTACCACCCTACATGTGTTTGCTTTGGCGCCATTTCCTTTCAGCTTAGTTAACTTTTGGTATTGGGGCCAGGAGAAAAGTGCAGAGTAGTAAGATGGGGGAGGATTCCGTTCTCTTTATTCACATGCTCCTTCTGAGGTAAAAAAAGAAGAAGAAATTCTATACATGAGTAAACAAACATGGCCACCCCCATCACAGCTAATGACCTCAGTCGAATCTTATTCCCTAATGTAGGATATCAGACATTCTAAGTGGTTTCTGAAAAATCTTCAGGGCCCCATCTCTGCTGTTTTATTTCTCTTTTGCAGTAAATGGGACAATGGGCTTGGACAGTCTGAAGGGAATGGGAACAGACCAGAAGACTCCCCAGATAATAGTAAATGGATGGACAAAAGGTGGTATTGCCTGGGGAACATGGGAAAGGGGAGCGCTGAAGTGGACACTCCTGAAAGAGGAAATCTCATTGAACTGCCCACATAAACAGAGGGGGTGGCCATGTTAGTCTGTTGCAGCACACAGAGAAACAAGATGAACACTGGGGTCAATAACATGGAAGAAGGTGACCTTTCTTGGAGCATGAGTTTCAAGGAAGGAAAGGAGCCTAGACCCCATTTGTGGTGGACCACATAGCTACTGTTTTAATGGGAATTTGGAGAGCCATAATTTAGCCAAATTTGGTGGGAGTTAGAGGATGGGGCTTACAAATGACTTTAAGCACTTCCTATCTGTCTTCCTGCTAGCCAAAATAGCTAAAAAAAGCATGCTGGATGCAGAAAGTGAAGGAGTTGGCAAACTTTATGGAGTCACAGAGTAGAACAAAACTGCATCTAGGATTGCAACAGTCCTTACTGGAATCTGCCGCTTTTCTGTCCATCAGACTTCTTCTTGTACTTGGCCCCCACTTAGGAAACAGCCAAGCTGACAAGGAATCTACACACACTCAAAGAAGTCCAGTCGCACAACTGGCAACCTTCTTCCTTGTTTGCTCTGAAGGACTGAAAGTCGTGTGCATGTCAAGGGCTGCAAGAGGGACACCACTTGTGCAGCATTTGTGCAGGCATGCTTCCTGATGGGTGCCCATGTGGAAGATCAATGCTCTCACCAGGAAGCTGGACTCATGACCACAAGGGTGGGCCAGAATCTAACAGATTCCCACCCTCAAAATGGATTCCTTACACATCCCTAACTGTAGCTATTGGACTGCTGTAAATATCTGTTGGCTCAGTGGTTAGAAATGTTCAAGCAGGGAGCAGATTAGAGCAGGAGGACAGCCTTCAAACAGAATGAGACCAGTGCTGTTACAGATCATACTGAATGTACTAGTGTTTTATATAAAAAAACCAGGCTAAAAGGAAACTTGCTTAGTTCTACCTGACTGCTAGGCAATGTTCCCATTCCACATGCAAACCTTGGACTGCTGTTTACACCCAATGCTCTGAATGCATCCAGGGCTGTGGATAAACTCCTTGTCATGGAGGAGGATCCTGAACCCTTGTCCCCAGGGCAAACTGGCCTCTTGTCCTCAGAAGAAGAAGCTTCAGAGTTAATGGTTCAGGAAGAGGACTCATCTTCAGACAGCATGAAACCCTATCTCCCCAGGAGCCAGTTCTCCAGAAGGACCCTGGGGGCTTTTTCATCTGAGTGCAGAGGAGGTCACATCACCATCTTCACACTCAGAGGAGTCAGGCTATGAGGAAACTAGCCTCCTACAGACCCTCCTGCCTTGTTGCAGTCTAAGATTCTTAAACAGGCAGAACTCTTTTAAGAGATAAAGGTTTAACCACTCTTATTTAAAGCTCAGTCTTGTGCTACTGCTTGTTAAAAACAAACAACCCTGTCCAGCTTCTATTCTCACTTGGGGCTTTCCGTGGTGGTGATCTATTTTTGTCATTCTTCCTTTGTGAAACAGCACCTATTCAGACTTCTGTTCAAGATTGGACCATAGCAATGTCCTACAAGCATACAGAGCATCAGCAGAACATGCAGCTTGAAAAAATACACTCAGCATACTGAGCATATTGAAACAATAACTGCTTTTAAAGAGTGCAAGAACAAATAAATCCTGACCTTGCACCACTGCTATTTCAACACCACTCAGCACTGGGGCAATTCAGAGTAGAAAGCAGCACACAGAGGGTTAAGTCTCTTTCAACACTGCATCTCACCTCTGATCTGAGTCACTCAGCTATGACTGCTTTAAGCTACCACTTAAAAGAAGAAGAAATGGATGATCCAATCAATAAGCTTTTGACATCTCCTCTACTTTAGTTTCAGAATTAATGTCATGCTAATGAACACTGCCTCTAAGCATGTGCAGAACACCTTCTATCCCCCTTGAATAACCACAGCCCTATTTGGTTTCCTGAGCAAGCTTCAATCTCAGTGCCTCTCCCCACACTGCAATCATGCTGTAACTCAAAAAACACCAACTGTTTCTTAAGAAGATACTTTGTCTTGGTTTAATCTGTTTTTCAAGAATATTGGAATATTGGATGAATATACAGGGAGTAAAAGTTTAGCATGACTTATATGCACTGAACAGTGTTTCTAAAAACTTTAATTTATCTCTCTCCTAGATTTGCCTTTTCCTTTGCCATAGGAAACAGTTTTTCAACATTTTCAGGAAAGTTCTGCACCAAGAGATGTTCTCTGTAACCATCAAAAAATGTTCACTTTTGGAAATAGTGGTTTTGGACCACAAGCAGCCATCCCCTGATCCATTGTCTGCATGAGCCAGAGCTCCAACTAGTTTTGCACCCTTCTGCCACTCAGGCTTGCAGAGAGAGTAGTTCTCAGGGTCACAGTGTATTCTAGGGCCCAGAGTGACTCCATTTACCAAGGCAGTTCATTGGTTTCCTATCACAACCTGACCTGGTAGGGTTGTGAGAACTTTGACTTTAGACAGAGCAGCAATGCACAATGACAACTTGTGCATTGTGTGCCTAGCAGGCAGCAAAGGCTGTCATCTGCGTGGGCCAGGTACCCACAAAAGCAAGCACCTTCATTAAATGTTTGCAAGCATGCTTGAGGGGAACACAACCTGCTGTCTGCAGTGTGCTATCTTGAATTTGTGAGCTACCTTCCTCTGCTTCTCCAAGAGATTTACTTTTGGGCAGGGGATGGGAACACAACAGAGATGTCCCAGCAGAGTGTGTGTTCCCTCCAGGAACTGGGAATATTCTTACAGAGGAACTTCCTGTGGGGTAGCAAGGAAGTCAAGATCCTGGGCCCTAGGCAGCCTAGAGACCCAATGGTGTGAGACTAGGCCTAAGGGGAAGGAGCAAGAGCAAAGAATGGTAGTAGGTATGCACAAGCATCTCACTGTACACCCAGAAGGGGTCACACCTTTGAGAGTATCCCAGTGAAATGTTTACAAAGCTTGAGTTACTTGTAAGCATTTAACATGGATTCTTACAAGAACCTCAGAAGGCACATATGGAGTGCTTTCTACCACTGCAGCCTCCCCCATCTTATGGTGCATTTTTGTGGTTTTGGGGAAGTTTGGAAGTTTGCACATTTAACAAACAATTTCTGCCAGCATTTCCATTTCTTTTCCAGAGAGAAGGATTGATATCGACAGCTTGGATGCAGTCCTGGATGAAATGGGGATCCATTTAACTAACAAGCAGCTATATGAAGCATTGAAATATGCTCCAATGGATGGTTAGCTTCTTTGCTCGTTTGTGGCTAGCCATTATGAAACGGAATGCTAGACTAGATAGATCTTGCTCTATTTATTTATGAATGGTGAGGAACATGGGGGTCCACTTGGGCTGCGGCCACATGAGGCCACCTGCTAGAATGATCCTGACAAATCCAGAGTGTGTCCATGCATTGTATATGGTTATGCACAACAATATGGTAATGGTGCCTGAGAGATTCACAATATGAAGGGCCTAGTCACAGGGTAAGTAACCACACTATGGCTAAGGAGGGGATGATTCACCATGGAAGGAACATTTTTGGCAGTATTCCCATGGCAACCTACAAAACCATGGCAAAACCACAAAAATGTTCACAAGGCATATGTCAGAATAGTTGATCCTCATCGATTGTATGACAAAAATGAAAACATTATTTACTTTCTTCTGACTGTATCACTCTGGTCAGCATCCACGTTGCTTGGAAGCCAAATTTATAGATGGAATAAGAAATGGAAGGGTCAGGTTGACAACCAAAGTGCTCCAAATGGTCTTTTTCCACAGAATCCCTTTTTGGCCCCTTTTGCTGCTTCATTGGCAAATTTGAGAATCTGACAAGGCCTCTGAAAGAATTCAGCCCCTGGACTGTCACTCACTGACTCCTATCATACCATCTCAGTTTTGTGAGGGAGTTCACATGGCCTTTTTTTTTTTAAAGCTGATTGTCTCTGGGCCATTTATGCAGATTCATTTGCATTTTTAAAAAATTCAGACAGTAAGGCCTTCAGCCTTCATTCCTGTGCCACTGGGAGTGTGGACCAGTTTGGAGACCAATTAGTGTGTCTCAGGTTGGCATGTTAAGAACATGGTTTCTGCCCAGGAGCTGCCTTATGGACTCTAATGCCCACTTGCACCTGCAGTTTGCATTGACCTCTTGGGTTCCACCCGCCAAAGGAGGGTCATTATCACTCCCACTCCCAAAACCACAGAAATTCACTTAGACCAGACATTGCTTCAGGACGGTTGTGCATTGTTCATGGGCCTTGCTTATTCCTTGCAGCTGATGGTATGGTAGACCTGGAAGCATTTAAGAAAGGTGTAAATACTGTGCTGACGAACCAGCAGAATGGTAAGCAAATCCATATTCTTGAAAGATGGCTGGTAAGACTATAGTTGTATTAAGACTTACTGTAAAAATGCCAAGTCATTATTCTGTGCATTTGTCCACTCTGGTTAATAAGAACAATCAATATAAGATTTGTCCAAAAGTCCAAGGGCCTCACACTGGAGACTAGGAATGTTATCCCAAGGTCCTTAAGACCAAATACAAATTTATGAGGAGTTCCATGTAAGTTTCCCATATTTTCTTCAAAGAAAAGCTGCTGTACGCAAGGGTCAGGAGCTAAGAAAGGATTGATGGGAAGGGGTTTAACACTCTTCATTCCGGCTGCGCTTTGTCTTACATTTCCCCACGTGAAGCTGCTTTTCCTGTCACGGGAAGTGTTCAGTCCCCGCTATATTTTCCCCTGTAGGGATAAAAATAGCTTGAGGTCAGGATTTTGAAAAAGGAAATGGCTGGTAGGAAAATGATTAAGTCCCTTCCTTACCTGCCCTTCTGCCACTCCCTGTTACCACCTTCAGTGTTTTGCTCATCTTTTCAAAATAATCAATAGAGAACTAAACAAATTTTGTGCAATATGTTGCTTATTTGCTGCTCTTTTGGAGCTGCATCTGGAAATGGCTATGAAGCTGCTTACACTGGTTTGGCCTCCCAGACTGGGCTATTCTCAGACTGCCCATCCCAACTTAAATGCTGACTGCTTCGACAAGCTGGAATGAAAGTACACAAAGAATATAGGCTTTAACATTTCCCTGAAGTGAAGAGGGATATCTTGACTTGGGTTTCCCTTACTGTGTGCAGGGCCTAACTAATAAACTTAGGATTTCCCTTCCTAGGTGGGGAGCTCCCTCTGCCTCCCCGTTCTGTTCCTGCCTAAGGTCTGGAAAGCAGGAGTGCTGCCAATTTCTTCTCTATTTCTATCTCCCCCACCCCCTTTTTTATGTCTGGAAACTTGAGCAGCTTTAGGAGGCCCTGTTTCCCTCAAGAGAGGAATGGGCAGTCCAGTGCTGTCCCCAGAAGCCAGAGGCCTGGAGAAGCCACTTTTGGGGCAATTCCCATCAAACACCAAACCTTCACGGGGCTGTGCCTGACTGTGGTGGTGTTACTTCCTCTGTGGCTGCTGGCTGAGCAGCAGGGCCCCAAGAGCATAGACTCAGCATTGCTGGGTGGAATATCTGGCAGGAACTCTGTTCCCCCAAAGTAAGAGAGTGTGTGATCCCAAAGCAGATGGGCAAATTCTGAGATCCCTTCTCAGATTTCCTAATCCACTTCAGATTGAGGGCTCTACCTTTCACCTACCCTTCTGCTGCTGGCCCCAGTAAGTCCAGTCAGAAAGCAAAAAATGGCAGGGAAATCCCACTATTCCCTCTCCCAATTTCTGTGTTGTGGATGGCCTCCCTTTTGGGTAGCAAGCAGGAAAAAGGCAAAAATTTAATTTTTCCCCCTTCATCTACTCTTTTATCTTAGATGTCAAAATGGGAGAGACTGCAACAAAATATTGTTTTTTGCACCCATGATGGCGATAAAAGAAAAGCATCTTCCCTCCTTCCTCCCTAGACATCTTGGTCAGATCTGAGGCAATGGGTGTCTTTCAACCGATAAACCCCAAGATGAGAGGCCTCAGCTCTCCAGAAGACACCACAGTGGCAATAGGCCAGGAAAGACTGCAAAGCAGATAGTTCCAGTTTGGGTCTGAGGCATTGGCTTCAGAGAGAGAGACGGGGAACCTTTCAACAAAGGAAGAAGAGACAAAGCTGAAATCTGCTTGACTTTTTTCAATGGATTTTTAAAATTAAAGGCTAGTAAGGCTCTAGGCATTCCAGAACAGGTTCCTGAAATTAATCTAGCAGATCAGTCTACCACTCCAGAGGCTCCTGAGGTTTTTCCCAGAGCACCCTCTGGTGCATCAGTCATTCCATTTCCAGAAACCTGTTTGGATGCTATAGTATGGAAATTACTATTTCTACGTTCTGTTGTTGCTGTTCTGTACCATCCAATAGCCAAAGCTCTCTGGACAGTTTGCAACAATTGAAAACCTTTAAAATGCAGCATTGTAACTTATCAAATGGACCACATCATTTTGCCAAAGCTGCAGTTTCTGAATTGTCCTCAAAAACTCTCCCACAGTGTATTGAGCAATCTAACTTGGAGGTTACCACAGCATAGATTACGGAACCCAGGTTATCCTTATTCAAGTAGGGCCATAGCTGGATCACCCATGGGTTCTCCATGTCACCAAGCTCAAGTGACAGGGATAGTAGCAAGAACACCCTGAAGCTACAAAACTGTTCCTTCGAGTGGAGTGTATCCCAGACCTCTGGCCTAGCATTCTTAAAGAAAGAGACTGGGATAATTGGGATGTTAGAAAAGGTTGATGGATCCAGCTACTGTCCCAGGTGGAATTAGTCCACTTTGCAAGGAGCGCAACGATTTTGGCTGTACTCAGCACTAATGACCCTTCATTTGTCATTTGTAGGTCTACCAGCTGATCTTTCTTTGCTTGACATTGTAAGCTGTACCTTGGCTGTTGCCTCTTTCAGCAGATATGCTACAGATAGCGGTTTCTGACTAAATCAGAGTGTCAGTGAGGCATCTTACCCTAATAAGCACTACTCTGGGATGGCCTAGTTTAGGATATAATTTTCTACTCTGTGGAAACAGAATGTTAGATTTATCATAAGAAGGTTCCTTTTGGGTATAAGATACCATATCTGCCCATGCAATGCCCAAGTGAGGGAAGAAGAATAATTGAAGTTTTTAAAAATTGGGAAACCAGAGCTTTATTTCCCTAGCTTTCAGTGGCACTATGTAGTTTTCTCTCTTTTTGTTTTCTTGCTGTTACCTCTTACATTCATTCAATAATTATCTTGTTAGTTCGGTCATGTCTGAGCTGTGTTGCCTGGAAAGTAGAAGCTGCTCTGTCATACAAGAAGAACTCATATCTGATTGGGTTGTCTTCTGGTGTGGGTGGGAGAAGCAACCCAGTCTAGAATGCTCTCCATTCTCTGTAGGCAAGCAACCTTCACCACAAGTCCAACATTCTGTTTTAGGGTTCTTGAGTTTGCTTCTTGAGTTTGTAGGGCTAATTTGACTTCTGTGTTGTTCTCCTCTGCCTCATAGAGAGCATTCCACAGCTCAGGAATGGTGCCTCTGATGAGCAGAGCAGCTGAGTCAAGATGGCACTCCCAAGGGTCCAACTCCTAGCACTTCTCTCATTAATTCCCTCTCCTCATTTGACTCACTCTCTTCTTCCTGCTCACTCTACACTCATAAGTGGGCTATGTGATCAGAGATAAGGGAAGAAAACTGCAGCACCTCCAGGTGGCCAACACCTCCCCCACCTTTTGAATATACAGGGCAAGAAGCAGACCAGACCAGCAGTTCAGCTTCTCTAGGAATGCAGGATGCGACAATTTGGAGATATTAGGGGTAGCCTTCCTGTAGCATGGCAGGCTCACAGAGACCTTACTCAGAATCATGCCAGTTGGAGCCGCACACCTATACATCCTTCCCAACTCCCTCTAGCTCCACAGGGCAGGAAGGGCAACAGGACATAATGCAGAAGTCTGAATCAGAGCACTGGGAAAAAAGAGCTGTTTCTTTACTTGTGCTGTCTTTCTGAGGGCAAAAGAACCATCAGGTGTTGATGCTATTCCTATAACTCAAGTAGGTTCCTATGAATCAGTAGCTTTTCTGGTTGTCTCTTCCTTCCTTCAGTTTGGAGAATAAGCCATAGTTGCTAACACAGTGGCCAGACAGAATAGATAACTATGCAACTGAGATGTAGAACCATGGTCCTAGGAATGGCTGATAATCAAGCCCTTTCAAGGGAGCAGACACTTTGAAGATACAATTGATGCCTACCTTGTAGAAATCAAATATAAAAAGGAAGGTACTGTCTATGACTACAAAGGGAAAACGGAGGTACAGAGGATCTTAGCACTCTCTCTCTCTCTCTCTTACAACAAAAGAACTGGCTAATCAATTTTATTCAGGTGGCTCTCATCTCAATGGGCCAGGGGTTTAAATGCAAACAGAAGAACATCATGGTCTTCTTCCAATAGGTTTTATAAGCAGATTAAAAAGACCACCTTGGCATGAGCTGAGAGAGCCAAAGTCCCATTAAAGACATCTACTGGACTTTGCTCAGTCCAAAGGATAATTTATGCTTTCTTTCAGGGATATTCTATTTTTTCAGCCATCCCAGAATACATGTATTTCATTCATGGAAAAGCCAAGACAAACAAAATGGAAAATCCTAAAATTCCTTAAGATATCAATATTCAAACCAAAGAATTTATACCATGGTCCCAGACAGTTGAGGCAGATACTCAGCTTTAGTCCCAAAGAAAAATGAGATATATAAGGAATACTAGATCTCAAGATATTTACTGAAGAAAACTTTCCAGGATGGAAGCACTCAGTTTCATAGTGGTGGTGCTTCATCACTGGTAGAGGGAGTTCCTTTTTGCTCAGTAGATCAGTTTCCAATCAGGGAGAAGCATTGAAAGAAGCTGTACTACCATTACAACAGAAGATGCTAACTACATTGAGCACTCCCATTCAGACTTGCCTCTACTTAAGTCTTACGAAGGTTTGAGTAGTGTGGGATCTGGGGAGTGGGGTTCTTCATATCTTTCTGTTATGTCCCTATATAAGGGCACCATCCAAGCTGAAGTGTGTTGCCAAACTTCAGAGGAGGCTGCCTAGCTTGTACAAGTGCCCACCAGACCTGCCATTCTTCTTCCTGCCATTGATGGGCTCCATCTCCACAGAATGGGCTTGGTCCTTTTGAAGTCCTCACAAATTTCCAAGGGTTACTGGTTGTCCAGGGTGCATAAGAGACGGTTATAGGTCACAATGTCCTGACCTCAAAAGGCATTTTAAAGGTTTTAAGACCTACAAGGTAACCCTTACCCCCAGTCAAGCTGAGGAACAGCTGTCTTGTGGTAAGAACTTAGTATACAGAGCAAGCCTTCTGGGGGTTACTTTATGTGGATCCTCTGGACTGTCAGATTTGAAAGGCAGAGTATTTTTCTAGGAGGGAGATAGGAAGTGGTGGGGGGAGGGGTTCATAGGTAGTTTCAGGAAGAACCAAGTGACCTGCTAGATATCTAGCAACATGCACAACACACACCCCATTTCTGCAGTTACTTAAAGGAAGACTTTGTATTCACAAGAAGTATAACATCATATATAGATAATTAAAATAAGACTGCAATTCTAACCATTAATGTAAAATATATCATTATTTCACTTTCAGAAAGCAAGTATGTGGAGTAAAGCTGCCCCCAAATGGAAATGCACTTTGTCCCTTCTGTTTTGCTACCCCGGTATTTTTGGTAGCGAAACAATAGAATTTGGTAGCAGAGCTGAGAGGAAACAATAGAGTCTTGTCTGCATGGTGCTCTTGGATTCACTGCTGTTCTGTTTAGAATTCTATCTCCCCATGAGGAGGGGGCAAGTTGCTTTGTCACTGTCCTTACAAAGCAGGCAGGAACATTCCATAATTCTGCATTTTAGCACTGCCAGTGCTGTGCAAAGCAGTTTACAACAGGCTGATCAAACTAATGGGGCTTTTAAGCAACACTTCCCCAAGTTGATTGTGCTGCCTACATCAGTCCCATGAAGCTTCTGGATAAGTGAGGGTCACTGGATAGCCTTAGTTGTGGGGTCAGTTGTTTCATCAAAAAGGGAGCAAAGAGCTGAATCGTTCCTTGCTTTACCTTTCCACACAACATTACAAGGCACCTTTCTCCAAGCTTAATGCATTTCCAATACTTGAGGCTAAGCTGGGGAGAAAAGTAGCTGAAGTGATGGAATGAGGTGGATGCATGGATCACAAACATGGCTTCCTTACTACTTCTAGCCTGAGCCAGTGTGGTGTGGTGGTGAGAGTGTCAGGTGAGTGACCTGGGAGAACTGGATTTTAGTCCCACTCAGCCATGAATCTCACTGGGTGACTTTGGGTCAGTCACAGACTCTCAGCCTAAAGCACCACACGGCTTATCCTGCTGCGAGGATAAGACAGAGCTATATAAGCTGCCCAGGAGCTATGTAAACTTTCCTTACATGAGGAAAAAGGTGGGCTATAAATCCAATTTAATAATAACAGCAATGATAGTTTGACTTCATTTGCTGTCACATTGCTAACTTGCTTCAGCCTCCCCTCCTCCGTGCATGTGTGTGTCCTTCTCAATTCACTTCATATTTAATAGGCAATCATCTTCTGCTGCAATAAACAAGTGAGAGCACGTTCCAACTCCCAGTGCAGAGTAGAGCTTCCCTACACAAGGCATTCATTGTCTGCTCATGATCTCTCACTTGTGGAAGTTTGCAGGACCTTTTTATCACATCACCATCCTCTAGGGCCTCTTCTGCGTTTTCCAGCCATTCTGGGGGCTTTTTAGGAAGAGAGGGAAGCCTGGGATTTTCCTAGGTGGCACCATTATTTGGTCCAAAGACCTGATGTATTTTCATGATTCTGCTTCTACAGTGCCAACTTGTGTTGTATACTGGGAAGCTATAGAACAGCAGAGCAGAAAAGCCTCAGGAAGATGCATGAATCCTCCCACAAGGAAAATGTCGGCAGGGGCTGATTATATTCCTCAAGTGGAGAAGCACTTCGTAGTGGCTTCCAGTGAAGGAGTGGCTGGGGACAATAGTATCTAGGAACCTCTAGCAAAGTATTCTAATTCTTTGGGCAAAACTCAGATCCGTTTCAATTTGTTGCATAATCTTTGATCTTATTAAAGCTCAGACATATTATAGGTGGCAGCAATAATGCATGTCTTTGGGGCTTGGCCCAGACCCAAGAAAAGTAATGCTGGGGCTTGAGGGTGTTGCCATTCTTGATCCTTTATGCAGTTTCCTTTTCTCTGCAGGACAATATCCAGATAAAATGTTAGAGTCAAAGATGTTGAAATTGCCCAAGGTACTGGAGAAGCACCGTCCAGTCAGGTCAGTAAGGATCTGCATTGCCAGGTGGGCTTTTGGGGCCTCTCTCCTTTGGAAGAGAATTTGCAGAGGCTACAAGGGATTCTCATTACACAAGCTTCCTTGTTCTGATGCTGGGCTAGATACAGCCTTTTAGCACTTTTTTTAGCCTGCCTAGTCTTCATGTGTAGATCACCTTGTTTAAATGAGCTTCAAGTATTGCCATGTTATAATCAATATTCACTAGGGAAATGTCTAATTTAGGCCAGTGAAGGCAGGAGCGCTCAGGTCAAACATAATATTGAGATAAGGTAAAGGTATACTAGTCCAGCTCCATGCTTTACAAAGGAAAGCCTTCCACACATAACTAAAACTCCATCAGTGAGTAAACAGTCATAGCAGGAAGACTGTGCCCATCAATAAATCAACATTGTGCTTTGTTCTTTCTTTCCTATTGACAGATTTTTCTCTTCTGTATCTCCCTGTGACATGATCAGACTCGATACAGCAAAGAACCTTAGTAAGCCACAGATGGAAGGTAAATTTCCTGTGTGCAAATCATATAATGGCTGTATCTTTCTGCAGCCCTGGACACAGCCTGCTGTGATATAGCTGTAAGCCACTGTAGATTCTTCTCTACAGTATATTACCAACCAAAATGGGTAGAACTGAGCCTGCTGGTTCTGCAATGAAAACTTGGGGTGGGGGCAAGGGCAGGGCAAGGCAGGGCAGGGGCAGAGAGCAGGGAACGCCTAAGGCTCTTCCAAACATAACTTCAAGAAATTATTGATGGCAGTAGTAAGGCTGCAGTGTCAAGAAGACAGAAAACACCTAATTAAAGCAGTCCTAACTATTATGAACTTCATAGCCATGGATGCTGTTTTGGATGTGATCATAGTTATGTGCATACTGGCATGCGCTTGGAACTTAGACAACCCTTTTGCCTTCTGCTGGCCATGTGATTTTCAGGTGATCTGTGCTCTAAATCAGCCGGCCAGTCACTTGTCATAGTGTTGTGATGCCTGGGAAGAGCTCTAGCAGATTTTAGGGAAATTATGGTCAATATCCTTACAAAACAGTTTTTAGAATTTCCTGGAGCAAGGGGCCATGTCAGTCCAGGAGCACAACCTAGGAAAAGTTATTAATGAGTAAAGCTCCTCCGAGAATATACAGGGGGTGCCAAAAATGTATACACATTTTAAGAGATGTTATCTATGCATTACTTTTCGAAGTTGAATTGAATTACGATAGCAATGTGTAGTGTGACATTCGCTCAAAAGATGGCGTTAATCAAATGAATGTGACAATTTTTAATACAGTTTTTTTTCCTTTCTTAAAATGTGTATACATTTTGTTTTGTTTTGTTTTTGCACCCTCTGTATATTCACTGATAATGATTGCCTTTGTGCTAAGCATAGAGTAACATGGAGGAAGCACAGGATTAGGAATGCAAATGGGGGCATGGGGCATTTAAAGGAGGAATTGGGTGGACAGGTGTTTAATTCGTCTTTCTCCTATTGATTCTCTCTCAGAATAAACCAATCTTGGGTTCCCCCTTGCATCTCACCTCCTTTCCCACACCATTTCTTTGTACAGCATTTCGCAATGCCTATGACACCTTCAACAAGGACCTGGATGGCAACATAGATCTTACAGCCCTAGAGACCACTGCCCATAATTTGGGAATTAGCTTAACTGAAGAAGAAGCCTTGGATGAGCTGCTGTATGCTGACATAGATGGTGAATGCATTCTCTCTCTCTTTCTCTCTCATACACACACACACACACACACACACACACACATGCAATCCCTATGGAAATGGGTGACAATTCCAAATCCTCAGTTTGAACTGAAAGTTCTCACAAACTTGGGATTTAGCTTCTTTTTTTGGGGAAAAGTCAAATATAGAAAGCATTAAATTTCAAAATTTCATTCTTAGGAGCACTCATGAATCTCCCTTACTATCCTTTTTCATCTTGGCTCCCAAAGCAAGAGGCTCTTTTGGGGCAGGGATCTGGTGCTGCCTGTCTTCATCTATGAATGTGTGAAGCATTGTGGGCCTTGATAGTGCTATATTAATAATAATGACAGTGATAATAATAAGTGTTATATACAAACAGGGCAGATCCAATGGCTTATTCAAAGACTCACAAGATACATCAAAGGCAGCATCAAAGTTTCATGATTTGCATTGAAATATGTCATTCTGAGGGGTGAAAAGTTTCCTCTAAAAGAATGGCTCACCCCTAGAAAATAATCCCCTTTTGTTATGCAATCTGATCCCTTCCCTTCTTTTGACAAAGGGCTTGCTAAGAGAAGGGATGGATTGTGCTGGGCACAGCATCGTAGACTGCTTCAAGTGACTATTACATTTTCTTCCAAGTAACATTTCCTTCTAAGTGACTATTACAACTTGGAAGGGAATGTTCCACAGCACCAGAAGCATTGCTAAGTGCTTAAGGATCTGGAGCTCAGGCCCATGCCACAGATTTGCCTATGTTGATATGAGTGTGTATGTGTGTGTGAAATTTATATCCCACCTTTTTTTCCTTACAAATTGCTCAAAGAGGCTTATATCATTCTCCCCCTGCTTTTCTCATTCATATCCCCACAACAACAACCCCGTGAGGTAGGTTGGGCTGACAGTCTGTGACTGGCCCAGAGTCACCCAGCTGGCTCCATGGCTCAGCTGGGACTAGAACCCAGATTGCCTGAGTCCCAGTCCCAGGCTCTTAACCACTGCACCACACTGGCTCTCAGTATCTACACACACATTCAAATTTTGAAGTACTAACACCTATTTTCATTTTGCTAATGTTACTGAAAGTAACAGGTTAAAATAGAGCATGCCTCTGAGCATAATGCTTTTCTCTCACTACTGACAAATTACAACTTTCCATTCCCCACACACCCAACAGGGATATCCTACAGGTATTAAAGCTTTAGCATTCCCTTTTTAATGACTAACAAGGAGCACACCTATTGCAAGAAAACTGAGCAAGATAACCTAAATCATGTTTCCTTCCAGGCAGCCCCTCCTTTTTCCAGCAACTCTTCATCAAAACAATGCTTTGTTTTTGTTCTCTACTTCTGACTTGTTATGTTCAGACTCTCATGGACTCCTTCTCCCCATAGCGCAATTCGTGCCAAGACTTCACCACAATTCAGCCACTGTAAAATTCACCAACAGCTTCAACACTGTAAAAAGGAAACACACAAATGACTAAACATACAGAAAATATTTTGTAAAAAGGAAGCCCTATTTTGCTCAACCCAAAGCTGAAATAAGGCATCCTTTACATAAAATATTTCACCATGTATGAAAAGAAGATGTGGCTTTTAGCAATCTTTGTATTAAAATAAAACTGTTGAGCTATTACAGGAAAATTGACATTGAGAAAATGCTGCAAACAAAAATATGGGAGAGGTGTTGCTATTATGTCTTACATGTGAGCTTCCCAGAAGTGACTGACAGGTTGTTCTTCCTTCCAGAATACTGGATGGAAGAACTCTTGGTCTAATACAGCAAAGCTGCTCTTACTCTGATGCATAAGAGGAGGAAAACCACAGCAAGCAAAGAACTGAGGTCCCAGCATGCTGGCCTTAAGCATGGCAAGATTGTTTGTTACCACCACCATTTGGAATAAATGTTTGGAATGGTTCCCTCATGTATGATGGTTCTCTTGCAGGAGATGGAAAGGTGAATTTCACAGATTTCCTAAATGTCATCACAGACAGTAGGCGCTTCATACAGGCTGTAGGTAAGAAGAAAGAAAGAAAAACCCTGTTGTCAGTAGGACTGGTTTGTACTTTCTGTATGGATTCTTCAGCTTCTGATAGAAAATTGCGAATAGCTATTGAATGCCAATTCACTCATTGCCATGTGGTAGGTGAGACAGAGCCAGGGATTTCCTTTTGTTCCAAAGCCCTGGGATCCTGAACTATAAGTTGTTTTGTACAATACCACCCCTCTTCTTTTCCATAAATTTACCATTCTTGCACAAGAATTCCTGCTGGGTTTTGTGGGCTGATTTTGTTTCTCATTTATGATCCCTAAGTTAATTTGCCTTCATTTGCACTTTCTGTGCAACAAGTTCCTGCTGTAGAAATCTGAGTTTAAAAGCATGTTTTTGTGGGTGTTGGTGGGTGTTATTGTATGGGTCAGACACCTCCACCATAACCCTCCTCTTTGAACTCAACTTATATAGAAATGAATGAAATAAATAAAATAAAATCAGATGGCACACCTCACTCTACTATTTTTGTGCCATGGTCTCCTCCTGTGCAATAGAGAAATGTGCACTGAAAATAATGTTTTTGTATTGTGGCTTGGGTCAGCATTTCCCTCCCTTTTTTGTTTTGTTTTTGTTTTGGTACTCTGGATAATCTTTATGTTAAGTTGCTCTGCTCTGCTCTTTCCATGCAATGGATTCATGTATGGACTGTATTCTGGTCTGAATCAAGCTCAGTGGGTTCAGTGGGGCAAAGCAGCCTGATGTTGCAGCACCTAGAGAATTCCTTGTGAGGAACTTGCTCCAACAAGATTTGAGACCAGAATGAAGATGTTATGCTTCAGTTTGGAATTCCCCAGTCCAGACTCCACCCCTACCTAGAAAACGGGAAGCCTCAAAGGGGCAGGTCTCCAGTCTGGAGCCTGGCACTCCCTCATCTCTCCAAAAGCTAATACTAGATCACTGCTGGTGTTCATGGGCCAGGACTACAGATTGTGGAGCTACTTGAAATGGGTGTGTTTTGCTGGAGCTAGGCTCAGGGATTCCAAATTGCTGGCCCAGGCTCAGAAGCTTTTCAGCTTAGGGGGTCCCTGGCATTTTGTACTCAGAAGTCTCCAGCATCTCTGGTTCAAGGGTCTTTGGTTTCTTAGTGGTATTTGAGCCTAGAGCATTCTCCATTTCCCAACCTTTGAATCTGTGTCTAGTTTACTCTCAGACTCCGAGGCTTGGCAACCAGCTGCAGAGCAGGTAAGTTTGGGTGTCAAACTTCACAAATGGCTCCAAGACTGGATAGACTTCTGGTGATATCTATACAGAAATTAAAACTTTCCCACATTTGGCCACTCTACTTAATGTAGTTTTAGAAGGAGAACCAATATCATGCTATCAAGCTCAAGAATATTGTGTGTGTCTACTTTGAAGTAAGTCTTATTGAATTGAATTGAATTACTTCCAAGTAAGTAGGTATTGCAACCTCAATTATATAATAACAACCAAGCACTTTTAACAATTAATCAATTTGATTCAAAAATACACAGAAGCACAGAACAATGGTGTCCATTATCCTTGTTATTATTTGCTTTTTAATGGAACCCCTAACAATCAGCATTACAAATAACACTAAAACTAAATGACACAATCAAATGAACACAAAATTCACTGTTCATATAGTCATTTGTTAATACAGTTATTAATAAGATACTAACAGTGAATATAACTGAATAGATGATGAATGCAATTAAAAACAATGCATAATGCAATTAACATAATGCAATTATGTTGGAAGCCGTCCCAAGGCTTATGCGAATGGGACGGCATACAAAAACTCCAAATAAATAAATAAATAACATGGTGACATAGCAAGGCTTCAAACTGACTTATTTTAAAATATATATTAATTTTTAAAAGCTCACAAGCAGCTAGAAAAGAAAAATCTTGGATGATACAAAACAAGATGAGAAGTTACTTCTATATGTGATGGAAATATGAGTTGGTAGAAAAACGTTGCTGTAGCATTTTAGAAATGTGGTAGAACAATGAAACTACTAAATTTAACAGATCAGATGAAAACATACCAAGTGTTAACTCTTCTACTTGCAGTTGTCAGACACACTATTGTTAAAAACTGGAAGACAAATGCAGAATTTCAATGCCTTATTGGAATGAGCAAATGTGAAATGCTACACTGCCACAGAATTCCACACCACTTTTTTTCTTTCAGCCCCAAATCAAGGGGACATGGAGACTGTTGATGCCCAGGGGATCTTGTTCTTTGAGCTTCTGTCAAAGCTGGTGGAGTCATCGATGCTGCCAAGGAAAACTACTGTGAATATTGTCAGGTAAGAATTAGGTAAATCTTGAATATATGCACTTACATGTTATGCTATTTTCTCAAGATCTAGTGAAAAAAGGTGTTTCTTAATCAACACTTAACCAATTAAATGCTTCACTGTCTGAATTTACATTGCTTGCTCCTTGGAGCAAGAATCTGCCTCTTACTTTCATTACTTTGCAAAGCATCAAAGTACAGTAGACATTGCTGATCTATGTCATTAATGCTAATAATGCCCAGAAGTCTTGCAAGAAACAAGTGCATCTAAGAAACATAATCCACCCACCCCTGGTCTGTTTCCTAGGTACATGGACAATGAGTGATGGTTAGAAATGGAATCCCTCAGTTCCCACTTCTGCCAAGCAACAACAATTTATGACTTAAATAATTACCTCTCTGTTGTGAATCGATGGTGACCAGAACACTCTCTTAAATCTGGCAATTTTAGTCTTACAGTTGTTTGAAATTTCAGCTGGCCTCACAAGTCTGCCTCTATGGAGCTCTCTTTTCTAGCGGTCCATGGTGGGCATTGCTCCCCTCAGCAAATTGTCTCCAGCTGGAGACACGAGGCCAGGACAACGTTCACTTTTGTCTCTGTTGGGCAGTGGGAGTGGGGCTCTGTTCCATTTCCAGAGAAGTCCTGCATAATGTAGGGAAGCGTGAGAATTTTCTTTATGTTCACATGAGGTATAAAGTATGTAACTGTTGTGCTTCATTTATGCAGTTTTGCAGACTATCTATACAATATTGTAGCCCCATGATTGTGCTCCTGTGTTTTCCCGGTTGATTTTCTGCCTCCACCCACTTTTTTTTTTTTTTTTGACCACAGAAATTCTGACTTTTCTGAAAAAAAGATGGGAAAGCAGCACAATTTGCATAGGGGTAGATTATGCTAGTTTTTTGCCTTTTTAACGGTATGGTTTTCATATGTGAAATCCTGTGGAACTGGAAGAAGCTGAGTCCTCTTGTCTTGTTTGACTTCCCATCCTTTTAACAACTCATTTTGGGCTTTTCTATATAAGTAATTTTCATCATTGGGGATTGGAATGCTAAAGTAGGAAGCCAAAAGATAACCGGAATAACAGGCAAGTTTGGCCTTGGAGTACAAAATGAAGCAGGGCAAAGGCTGACAGAATTTTGTCAAGAGAATATGATGGTCATAGCAAACACTCTTTTCCAACAACCCAAGAGACGACTCTACACATGGACATCACCAGACGGTCAACACGGAAATCAGATTGACTATGTGCTCTGCAGCCAAAGATGGAGAAGCTCTATACAGTCAGTATAAACAAGACCGGGAGCTGACTGTGGCTCAGATCATGAGCTTCTCGTTGCAAAATTTAGGCTTACATTGAAGAAAGTAGGGAAATGCACTAGGCCACTAAAGTATGCCCTAAATCATATTCCTTATGAATATACAGTAGAGGTGACAAATAAATTTAAGGAATTAGATCTGATAGACAGACTGCCTGAAGAACTATGGACGGAAGTTCGCAACATTGTACAAGAGGTAGCAACTAAAACAATCCCAAAGAAAAAGAAATGCAAAAAAGCAAAATGGCTGTTTCAGGAAGCTTTATAAATAGCTGAGGAAAGAAGGGCAGTGAAAGGCAAGGGAGAAAGGGAAATATACACCCAATTGAATGCAGAATTCCAAAGAAAAGCTGGAAGAGATAAGAACACCTTCTTAAATGAACAGTGTAAAGAAATAGAAAAAAACTATAGAATTGAAAAACTAGAGATCTCTTCAAGAAAATTGGAGATATGAAGGGAATGTATATTGTCGCCCTGCCTATTTAACTTATATGCAGAGCACATCAATGAAAGGCCAGGCTAGATGAATCACAAGCTGGAATGAAGATTGCTGGGAGAAATATCAACAACTTCAGATATGCCAAAGGTATCACTCTAATGGCAGAAAGAAAAGAGGAACTAAAGAGCCTCTTGATGCAAATGAAAGAGGAGTGCAAAAGTTGGCTTGAAATTCAGCATTAAGAAAACTAAGATCATGGTATCCGGTCTATCACTTCCTGGCAAATAGATGGGGAAGAAATGGAGGTAGTGACAGATTTTATTTTCCTATGCTCCAAGATCACCACAGACGGGGACTACAGCCAAGAAATTAAAAGACGCTTGCTCCTGGGGAGGAAAGCTATGGCAAATCTAGACAGCATACTAAAAAGCAGAGACATCACCCTGCCAACAAAAGTGCATATTGTCAAGGCTATGGTTTTCCCAGTTGCAATGTATGGCTATGAAAGTTGGACCATAAGGAAGGCTGAGCGCCAAAGGATTGAGGCCTTTGAATTGTGGTGCTGGAGAAGACTCCTGAGAGTCCCTTGGACTGCAAGGCAATCAAACCAGTCAGTCCTAGAGGAGATCAACCCTGACTGCTCTTTAGAAGGCCAGATACTGAAGACGAACTCAAATACTTTGGCCACCTTCTCACTGGAGAAGACCGTAATGCTGGGAACAATTGAGGGCAAAAGAAGAAGGGGATGGCAGAGAATGAGGTGCATAGATGGAGTCACTGAAGCAGTCGGTGTGAGCTTAAGTGGACTCCAGGAGATGGTGGAGGACAGGAGAGCCTGGAGGAATGTTGTCCATGGGGTTGCGATGGGTCGGACACGACTTTGCGAGTAACAACAACACAAGTCATTTATTGTAGGCTCATGAAAGTTTGTGGGACCTTTTCATGAGGTCCTCCTCTTCTCTGTTTTCCAGCCATTTCTGGTAGGGAGGGGAAGTAGAAAGTCAGTCAAGTATCAAGAAACCACAACAAAACCCTCCTGAGAAGTCTCAAACCTACTCCACTGCAGAAAATACACAGAAAGGCAGGGGAATACAGCCCCACAGGAGGAAAAATCAGTAGAAATGCTTAATTTTTCTTCCCAGAATGATTATGGAGGAAGAAGTTTCAGAAAAGCAGCATGTGAGAGGTGGCTAATTTGCATGTTTTTTATTTGCTAAAAAATTCAATATGCTAGGTTGGTGTGGATTGGGGAAATGGAGTCAGAAGAACTGTAGAGCCATGGAACCTGACTATAGAGAGGGATACACTTCACATGTTGTCAGAGGCACTGCAAGGCAGGATCTGGGAGCAAATGAATGATGGAGGGAGGAAACAAATCAAGCATGTAGCAAGGAAGTTAGGAGGAGACACGCAGAGGCACAGCTGCCATGACTTGTCTAAGGCTTGTGGGACTGCCACCCACACTGGGCTCAGGCATGACAAGGGATGGGAAGGTTTCACTTCCACCTCTCCCCTTGCAGTCAGCTTTGCAAGGGCAGAGGAAGCCTTGGGCAAAGGACCTGTCGATGCAGGTGACAAAATCCCTGCTCCAGATGCAGAAGACAAGGGGACCAGCAGTTAAACCCCACTTTAACCCTGGTGACAGGCTAGCATCCTCCGCCAGAGCCATAGCAGAAGGATTGTGGAGCAGACGAAACAGGCTGGGGGTAAGCTCTGTGGTAGGCACTGCTCTGTTCCCCAACAGAAAGAAGACAGATCCCTCTCTTTGCATCATGGTAGGGAACCTGTAGCCAGGTGAAAGGGTGAGAGGCAGGAAACATGTTTCACTCATAAGTAAACCAATGTGTGCCATTGCATAGTTCTTAAAGATTTCCCATTGATTACCAAACACAAGAATGTCAAGTTTAAGTATGAGGAAGTAATTTACCTGTAAAAATAGATGGAAGGAGAGTAAGCAGCAACCATGAAAGGCAGCAAGTGCTGCCTCTTCTCAGTTTAAAAGAAGATGGATTTGCAATGAAGTACAACCACCACCAGAAGAAGAATGCCAGAGAGACGCCACCACTGTCCTGGCTGGGGTGGAAGGGGCAGAAGTGGAAAAGCCCCTCTCATGGCCCCTCCACCACTGCGGTGTCTCCTTCTGTTATAACAGTTTGTTATAGTTAAAATAGTATGCCTTTAAAAACAAATCAATTTTAACCAAACCAAAAATAAAACACAAACTGTTGCTCTTTTGTGCTGCAATATTCATCTGTCATTTTGGTTTTCTCTTGTGTGCTTTCCAGCTACTACCGGCAAAAGTTTCTGGAGGCTACTGGCAAAAGGGCCTGGCATTCTGATGGCATGAATGCAGAGGGCAAGGGAAGACATCACCGTGGGAAACCACGTGTGCAAAAAGCCAAATCCACGTCTATGTCTGCATTTGCTGGTGCTGCCCGCATCTGCATCATGAACGACAAGGAGTTGGAGTCATATGTGGAACATCTCCGAGGTGAAAAATATTTCTGCAGTTCTTTTTATGGCCACAGCTGATAAAAGTTGGGTCATGAATTAGAAGGCTGTAACTACTAGTCCTATGGTGCTAGGCTGACCTGTGGCCATGCTGCTTTGCTTTGGTGTCAAGCTTACCCAACAAAATTGTAACTTGGAGAAATTCTAAGAAGCCAGATGCTTTGATGGAAACTGCAGAATTATAGCTAGCATGACATCATCTCAGAGAATGGCATGGATCTTTGTTTGCTGTTATTGATGTGTGTTGCACCATCTATGTGTCTGATACTTTACAAAACTTTAGGACCATGAAGGCACTCTGGAAGGCAATTCTGGGTATATGGGTCAGCTAGGGAGAAAGTTGTTATGGCAAAGCGGTTTGAGGGAGCAGGAAACCTACATCACTTCCACTTTTCAAGATGTATATTTTCTTTGCCTCCCTGCTCCAACCTGATATGTTTCATTCCAATAGTAGGCACATATTTTTCTTCCTTCTTCGTTGTGGCCTCTGTATCACACATATGGGTGCTGCACCTGCGCAGTGCCTTTGGCTGAAAGATTGCAAGTTAACGGTTTTTGGCGGGAAAAGCTCAGCTCCCCCTCCCCCATAGCCTATAAAGAGTGGAGCATCCGCCATTTTGTTCAGTCTTTGCGACCGCCGTTCACTGTGCCTCGTGCCGCTCTTGCTCTGACCGTTGCGCGTCTAGCCTGTTCTTCTTCTCGATTGTTCTCCCAGTTGTTATAGCCCCAGTATTTCTTCTAGTTCTTGTTAGTTCATGATAGTTCTAATAGTTCTTGTAGTTTTCTCTATCATTCTACCTTCCTTTCGATCTTCTATCTAAAAAAAAACAAACAAACCCAAAAATATATACTTACCCTCTGTACTATCTCCCTTTTTTCTCTTTCTTGCGATGGCGCAGCGAGCAGCTTCCTGCAAATGCATGGAGTGTGGGTCAAAAATGTCTCCGACCGACCCGCATGACCTATGCCTCCTCTGCTTGCAGGAGGGGCATAGGACTGATAAATGCTCTCACTGCCTGGCCTTCTCTAAGCAGGCCAGGAAGAACCGTGAGAATCGCCTGCAGAGGCTCTTGTGGGATCAGGCTCTCATGCAGTCTGACCCGCTCGTTGCTGCTCCGAAGCCTGGCTCCGCTTCAATTCGACATCGTTCCTCCTTCGAGTCCTATCCGGTTTACACCATGCTCGCCGGTACTACTTGATGAAATACTACAACTTCTTCGTAAAGGAGCGATTCGTCAAGTAACCCCACCTGACAGACTCCACGGATTCTATTCCAGATATTTTACGGTCCCGAAGCAGGATAGTGGTCTACGTCCGATTTTGGACTTACGTAATCTGAATCGATTTATCGTGACAAAAAGGTTTTGAATGACCACCCTTCAAAATATTTTGCCGCTGCTAAGGAAAGAGGATTGGTTCACCTCATTGGACTTGAAGGACGCCTATTTCCACATTTCGATCCACCCGAGTTATAGGCGTATCCTTCATTTTGCTGTAGTACCCCATTTCTATGAATTTACAGTTTTACCTTTTGGACTGGCCACTGCTCCGAGAGTGTTCACCAAATGTATGGCCCCTGTGTGCGCTTTCCTACGCCTCCAAGGCATACAAATTTACTCATATCTTGATGATTGGCTGCTAGTGTCCCAATCTTGGGAAGGACTTCTCGCATCCATCCGTTCAACCTGTGCCTTGTTGGATGATCTGGGCCTATGCATTAATACTAAGAAATCTTCTCTTCTTCCGACGCAGACACTTACCTTCATTGGAGCCCGCCTGGATTCGACATTGGGGAAAGCCTTCCTTCCTCAGGACAGACAACAGATTCTTGCTTGCCTCATCCATCGAATGCGACGAGACAGGACGGTCCCGGCAAAGTCCATCCAGAGGATCCTGGGACATATGGCTTCCTTGGTTGCTGTGGTGCCACACTCCAGACTTCGACTCTGTCCATTACAACTCCTCTTCAACAAGATGTTCCACCCACAGAGCGAACCACCGTCGAAATTGATTCGAATCCCATCCTCGGTGCTCCATTCTCTGCTCTGGTGGTCAGTACCAGCCAATCTGACTGTTGGGGTTCCCTTCAGGCCACGATGTCCTTTGATAACCCTTGGTACCAATGCATCTCTTCTGGGATGGGGAGCGATATGCTCCGGCCTATGCACCCAAGGCACGTGGAATCGTCGAGAATCCATGAATCAGATCAGCCTCCTGGAGCTGCTGGCAGTATTCAAGGCCCTACGCTCTTTCGAGGATGTTGTCCAACATTGGGTCGTTCAGATAACTTCGGACAATATAGCCACCGTCTTCTATCTGAACAAACAAGGTGGAACAAAGTCCCCAACTTTGGCCAGATTTTCAATGAAAATTTGGGACTGGTGCATTCCGAGAAACATTACGCTGATGGCAGTCCATCTGGCTGGTACGGACAATGTGCAAGCAGACCTCCTCAGCAGGCACATGTTCATCTCTCACAAATGGGAACTAGATCCTTGGACACGCGACCATCTCTTTCATCGCTGGGGGTTCCCCAATGTGAATTTATTCGCCACCCAACAGAACAAGGTGTGTGATGCTTACTGTTCGAGAGTGGGAATCGGGGATGGATCCCTAGGGGATGCATTCATGATCCTCTGGTACAACCTGATCTTTTACGCCTTCCCTCCATTCCCTCTTATGATGAGAGTGATAGCAAAGATATACGATTGAGCCTTGGGGATACTCATTGCCCCTTGGTGGCCACGCCAAGCTTGGTTTGTGACACTGCTTGACATTTCTCGCGGGGAATACCTCCATCTACCACTGCTTCCGTACCTCATAACCCAACAGGGCAGTACACTTCACCATCCAGATTTACTGTCATTGAACTTACAGCGTGGTGAATCCGATAGCTACCATTGCGCCACCGGTATCGACGACAACTTCAAGTGAATCGAATCCTGCCGTCAAATCCAGTGGGTTTGGTGTTTCCTCTTCATTTCTTCCTTCCATACCATCGGATTCAAGGATTGATCCATCGAATCCGACAGCCTTTCATCCTGATATCCAACACATCCTTGATTCTGCTTTGAAGCCGTCCACATGGAAGTCCTACGCGGCTAAATGGAAACAATTTTCTACCTTTGCCGAGTCTCGTTCGTTCTCTCCATTTACATCATCAATACATCAAATCCTTCCATTAGAACTGCACCATTCCGAATTGAAACCGTCTTCAGTTAAAGTGTATACGGCAGCAATAGCCTACCATTGTGGCTCGGTTAACGGATCAACCATCTCTCAACCTACTGTTAAGAGGTTTCTTAAAGGACTTCATAATCTTAATCCATCAATCAGGCCAGTAATGCCTACATGGAGTCTCTCTGTTGTTCTGCAAGCGCTTACGAGAGCTCCTTTCGAACCAGTCGATTTACGTCTGGTTTCATGGAAGACAGCGTTTCTTGTTGCAGTCACTTCAGCCCGAAGAGCCAGTGAGCTCTGCGCTCTCTGCATAGACCCTCCTTACCTGAATTTTCACAGAGAAAAGGTCGTTTTGCGCCTCGATCCATCTTTTCTTCCAAAGGTGGCTACATCTTTTCATATGGGCCAGGATATTATCTTACCTGCCTTTTTTCCGTCGCTGTCAACTCCATTAGAAAGATTGTTGCACTCACTTGACGTTCGGCGCTGCTTAGCCTTCTAAAGATCGAGGACTGAATCTATTTGACGCTCAAATAGACTATTTGTTAAATATTCCACCAGAGATCAAGGCAATCCAGTCACTCCGCAGAGACTTTCCAAGTGGATAGTCCATACTATCACTTTATCCTATCAACTGGCTAAGATTGACTTACCTACAGCCTCTCGAAGCCATTCAACGAGGGCTGTTGCAGCATCATCTGCCTTTGCATCGGGGGTCCCGATTGATGATGTATGCCGAGCTGCTACTTGGGCGAACCCTTGCACTTTCGCCAGACATTATTGTCTAGATGTTCGGGCTCGGCAAGATTGCTCCTTTGGCAGAGCCATTCTTTCATCTATTCTTCATTGAGGACACCTCCCCTCCTCCTTTTATGGTAAACTTGTTAATCTACCCATATGTGCGATGCACAGAGGCCCCGACGAAGAAAAGCAGGTTGCCGGCTGCCGGCCCCACTCAGTGTCGGTGAGTAGACATATTCATCAGTACTGAAAGTTTTCCCTTTTTTCATGGTACCAATCTTTTTTCCTATCTCATACTGGCAATTTTTTTCCACATGGGGGCATACGTTCAGTCGTCAAAGACTGAACAAAATGGCAGACGCTCCGCTCTTTATAGGCTATGGGGGAGGGGGAGGGGAGCTTTTCCTGCCAAAAACCGTTAGCTGTCAATCTTCCGGCCAAAGGCACTGCGCAGGTGCAGCACCCATATGTGTGACTGCACAGATGGCCACTCGAAGAACATCAGTTACAGGTTAGCAACCTGCTTTTTTTACCCTAATCAGTGATCTAGGCAGCTTGGTAAATTCTAACTGATGGAACAGCCAGTGCTGAAAAACCCATTTGAATCTAGTTTCTCTTCAAAGCTGGTAATATGCTGTGGAGGCTTAGCTTCCACCAGCCCTTCTGTTATATTGCACACATTATTTACAAAGTTGCTTTTCAACTTCCAGCAAGTGTACATGCAACTTTGTCCTTTGCAAAACCCTGTTTTAAAGCAGTTTTTGAAAAAAGAGATTGGGACCTAAGAAGGACCATTTGCAGTAGAAACAACCCTAACCCTAACTCATGAACACCTAAGCATCCCTCCAAACACCCGCAAAGACCTTGCAGAAAAGGCTGTTTGGATGCCATCCCTCCTTTCAGCAGCATTCTTGGTAGGTATTTGCAGTGCACAAATGTTCCAAGGGACCCCTCAGTTTTACAAGTGACCCCAAACTGATAGTGACTTTGGGAGCTGCAAAAATTGTAGGGATTCCCAGTGATGCAAGTAAATGCTGTTTGATAGCTCACCTGTTATGTCCTACTTCAGACTTCTGAAAGTGATTAAAATCTATGTTTGAGCAGGAAGATGTACAGGTATATGGAGCCCATATGGAGTACACTGTCCTAGCAAAAACCCTTTCAATGTCAGAGCTCCTGTTAGTGGGAATCCTCTCTGGTTTGGACAGTTGTGCTGATGCTAGTGGGGGGCACTAGGGATACTTGATCTCCCCCAGGACACCTGAGGAGTCTGCTGCAAATGGGGGCATGGGCCTTTGTTTGCAAATAAGGAACTCCCACCTGTCAGATACTTGCAAAGGGGGGAGAATGTTTATCTGTGACCTGGGGCAGGCACTGCACAGGGCCAGGTACCCATCAGCAGACACCCCCTGGCCAGGACCCACCCCAGAGTCCTCCTGTACTACCCCTCCCTGCCAGATTTGTTCAGAACTGGCAGGGTGTTTTTAAAAATGAGCTTGATTATTTGTACACATGATAGGGATAAAAAGATCCAAACGCAAGGACAACAACAGGCAGCCCTTGCAAGGTGGAGCAGGGGCAACTTCAAAGGGTGGCTCGTGGATGCGCAAGCTGGTTTGGCAGCCAGTTTTTGTAACTTTTTCCCCAGAAAAGATTTAAAATGTATAGTCAAGCCACACCAACCCAAAACGTCTTGCAGCAGCAGCAGAAGGGGGAAGGAAACATCTAATTTAGTGGGTGGTCCTGCCCCTCTGAGGGTGGTGGAAAGATCCAGGATGGTGGTGATGAGTTTTCAATTTGCAGGAGGCAATAGACTGAACACAAAGAAAGAGACACTGGGACACTAGAGTTGTCATCCAAGAGGAAAGGGGGTGGCACCTGAAAAAAGTTTGGGGGGCACTGGTCTAATTCCTCCCAGAGAGTCCACTGGGATACTTGTGGGAGGACCAGCTAGGGAGTAGGGGCACCCTACCCATGATGTGCCCAATTTTGTGAGGGGTGCAGCATAACTTATTATGTTATGCAAACCTGCCAGTGGCTACTTACATCTCTCTCCTTCAAGCTCTTCTGTGTCTTTTTGCCTTTACTGCTCCAGTCCTTACAGGTCTGGAAGCTGATCTGCCAGCATTGACCACCCATGATGAGGAGAATTCTGATATCTGATTATTTGTTGCTCTTTCCTTTTCTAGCAACCATTGCCCCTTCAGATAGCCCCTATGCTCAGGTGCCCATCTTTCCTTTGATCCCCAACCGGGATGGCATGATGAAAGGGAAACCAAAGAAAGATATCCCTAAGCTGGAGATGCAGAGGAGGATGGAACCCATCTCATCTTTTGAGGACCATTTCTTCAATAGAAAAAGGTGGCTAAAGCAAGAGGTGAGTTCAGAAGTTCATTCATGCAGGGTCAAACCCAGCATCTGTTAGTAACACCAGCCTTCAGCAGACCTGATAATTACACTCTTTTTCCACTTCTGCTTTATGCTTTGCTTTGCTTTGCACAGCCTAAATCCTTGAAGGATCCCAAAGCTTCCCTCACTCTCACACCAGAAATGAAACAGAGGCGGCGGCGTTTGACTATTGACAACCTGGAGGAGATCCGAAAAGAAGTAAGCAGTTAAGGAGCGATACTACTTACTGGGCTGGATCCAGGTTAAATCAGTCTTGTTTATTTATTTATTTATCTTCTCTACTGTCCCACAGCTGAAGCTTTCTTTGCAGTTTACACACTCCATAAAAACAAATGATGGAAATACATTTAAAATATCATAAAAATCAGAATAGACATTAAAAAGTTAAAACAACTAAAACAAATGATAATACAGGAACAATACAAATTAAATGACATGGACTGTTAAGCAGCCTTGTGAAAAGAAATGGAAATTGAAAATTAAAGAATTAATAATAAATTTGGTACCAGCAGCAAAATTGATAAAAGCAAAGAACTAGAAGGGTTTTTACGAATATGTATTAATAAATGAAGAGGATATTAAACCTTCAACAGATGTAATTCAATTTTGAATGGAAGGGTGTATTTCTGAAAGAGTGGAAAAATGAAGGAAAAAAATACTATACAGCTATGGTCCCAGTAGAGGTGTGCACTAAGGGTGATTTTCTTTTACATATTTCTTTTGTGTATTTTGTGTTGTTTCCTTTTATTATATGATTTTTGTATTTGCATTTGTACTCTTTTAAAAATAAAATTATTTTTTAAAAAAGGACTGTTAGTCAACATGCTTCCATAATACAATATAATATAATGTAAATGTCTTACAGGGGACAGTCTTAACCTGATGCCAAAATGATGTCAAAGTTGGTGCCAGGTGGACCTCAGTGGGGGCTTGTTCCATAACTTGGGGCTGCCACTGAGAAGGCCCTTCTCCTTCTTGCTACCAACCAAGCCTCGCTTGGAGATGGCAATGAGATGCAGGCCCCATCTCTTGATCATAGCATGTAGGTAGATAGGTCCATACAGTCCAGCATTATATTCCCAAAAGTGACTGGACAGGTGTTGTTGGGTATGACCACAACAATCCTCCTTGGTTGACTGTCCCACCCACCCAGAAATCTGGTGAAGGAAAAGGGCCAGTAGCCTAGGCAAAACTTCTCTGAACTCTTAGATTGGAATGCTTTCCCCAGTTCCCACTATTTCCTTAATAAGGATTTTTTTCCTAATTAAAAAAAATCCTTTCCCAATTCCAGCAGCCCTCTGCATCACATTCTGCATTATCCTTCCCAGTTGCTTTCTGGGAAGGCTATGTGCCTCCATAACCGGCCCCACACAGTTAAGCAGTTGCCTGGGGGGCTAGTGTTGTGTCTGTGGCAAAGGCTGCAACTGTCCAGAAATGACATTTCGCTAAAAAAAATCGCCATTAACTCTGAGTAGTTAGGTCCTCTGTTCTCATTAAATCAGGCTTCATATGCTAAACTAGCCATTTACTGGAAGGCTTTGCAGTAATGCTAGTAGCTCACAAGTGCAGAGATGTCAAGGAAAAGACTGACACAGAGATATAACGGGGCTCTCCAGCTCAGCACCAATCTTCAAAGAAGAATGTGTTCTGAAACAGCAGATCTTTATGTTCAAGCAGCTAACATTATCAAGATACAATACATTGGTACCTCGGCTCACGAATGCCTCAGTTCACGACCAAATCGGGTTGCAAACAAAAATTTCATAAAAATTTTGACTCAGGTCGCAAACTCTGCATTGGGTGGCGACCGCATTCGTGGCCATCTCCCCCCACCCCCCCGACTGCGGAGATGGCCACAATCACACTCGTGCTCGTGCAAGGAAGACGGGTGTGATTGCGGTTGTGCTCGGGGGGTGGGGAGATGGCCACGATCGTGCTGGGGGGCAGTGAGGGGAGATGGCCGAGATCACACCTATCTTTTCTGCATGAGCGCGCCCATCTTTCCTGCATGAGCACAACCACGATCTCGGCCATCTCCCCCCTTCCAGCACGCTCGTGCCCAACTCCCCCCCCCCCGCACCCCCCCAATTCCCCCCCCCCCCCCCCCCCACAAGCGCGCCCATGATCGCGCCCATCTATGGCTGCGATCGCTATAGCGGTCGTGCTGGGGATGTGGGGGGAGAGATGGCCGCGATCTTTGTTGTTCTTTGTCACTTTGCTTCAATTTTTTCTGATTAAAAAAAAATAGTTACAAAACGGATTAACCTTATTTGCATTGAACCTTATGGGGAAATTTGACTTGGCTCACGACCAATTTGGGTGACGACCAGAGTCCTGGAATGGATTAAGTTTGTGAACCAAGGTACCACTGTACTTTATTGTTATGATCACAGCTATTTCAAAATATATTTAATGTGAAATACTTTGCTTTCTGTCCTAATCAGTAGCTGTGATGTTAAATGTTTAGGTCTGACTGAAAATCAGTGGAGCTTGACTAACTTGGCCCATTGATTTCAATGCTACCAAAGTACAACTGATTTATTTAAAAAACAGTGTGGTAGGAAGAATATAAGATAACATTTCCCTCTGGATTTGGCATTCAACAAGCAGATTGAATCCTCTGCAGTGGATTATAAGTATTATTAGAACAAAACAAGCAATGCCCTGTCCACCAGATATCACATTAAGCCAGAAATCCTGACTTAATAAAACATGATATGAACAAGAGGAGCTGTCAAGGGCATTTTGGAGGGTATTCCTTCATAAGGCTGCCATAAGCAGGAGACAACCTGACAGCATTTGACAACAGCAACATGAACAAGTGATGAGCTAATTCACACAGCCTCTCTGTTTCTCCCTTCATTTGACTGTGTGAACAAACCAGAAAAGGCACAGCTTTCCAGTTTGTTCAACCTGGGAGTATGCTTAAGTACACACAAACAAGCCAGGATTTGTAAACCAATTTCAAACTCTTCCTGATTTGTTTATTCACTCATGTGAAGGGAGGAATGAACAGCAGGGTGCACTTGCAAGTTACTCTTACGGACTATCAAGCCCATAGGGTTGCCCTCCCATGAGGCAGGATAAATCCACTGCCTCAGGTAGTAATGTGGCAAATTTTGTTTGTTCTCCCTCCCTGGCAAAAAAGGCTCCCCACTGCCATGTCCCTGGAATGAGGCAGTAGTACTCACAGGCTGCCTGGGAGGTTGTAACAGCTGCAACTGAAGTGAAGGTAGCACTAGCTACCTCTTCTCCCAACTCAAGTGGCAAGAGAGCTTGTACTGCTGCTGCGAATCAGAACACCCGGCTTAATGTGAAGCTGAACAGTCAGTGTTTCAGTGTTCTAATTATAGCTCTTGCCTGTACCTAGAATATTTCCAAGTATTACTTTTCCAAATGTACATGGAAGGAGGTGGTTTGTTACTGGATTACCCTACAGTGTTGTAAAAGTTACTGAAATATACACAAAGAATGCTAGATTGTTTATTTGCTTATAGAATTGGGAATGACCTTCTTAGAAGTTAGCCTACATCTGAAAACATTGGCGATCTTGCAGTAAGTTCCCTTTTTGTGAAAGGAAACTTGTCCATCATCTACTCTGGCTGTTCGGTAGCATTAAAATGTAAAAACTGAAATTAACTCTGTGCCGAAAAAGGCTAGGCTGACTTCCTCTTTGTTGTCATTTTGCTGACTAGCAAAGCCATTTTTTCCAAGAGACCTTTGGCATATAAATAGATCTAGAAACATAGTGAGTCAGAAGGGGTCTCCCGGGCCATCTAGTCTGACCCCCCCGGCTCCAGCTGGCTCCGCTAGGTGCTGTTTTTATTCTGTGATTGTTCTGAATTAAAAACAGACTGGAAGCATTTATTTTACTGTTACTTTAATCAAGCTCTTATATAGAATAAACAAAGAGGATCAGCGTGCAGAGAAGAGGTGTGCTCACTTTCAGAAGGTCCCTCCTGAAGGAATGGGGCCTAGGCATGTTCATAAGGAGAGTTCTGGGAGGTAAATACTAGACTGGGTTCAACAAACTGCTTTGTGCATGCTCAGAGATTCATTCAGGGAGTTTTGTACTTTTTGGGCAATAAAGAATGCTTTGCAAGGAAAAAGATCTATGGCTTTTGAAAGCACTAAGGAGGAACTCGCAGCTCATGACACCCTCATTACTATAATTTAAAAGGCAGGCAGGCACCCCTGATTCCCTAAGCTTAAAGAACTGCTAATTTTAGCATTTTTAACATAAAACAATTTTGTTTTTCACAGTCAATTTGACCAGACTTTTGCTGATTTAGTTCATTGTGCTTCTTTGCATGCCTTATTTTTCTTAATTCTATTGTACCTTAATCACTTTATTTGCTGCCCTGGAAGCAAAGAATGTTGAAAGTGTGAAATATCATTGATGCAAGTAAATGAACAAATATAACTATGATGTGTCAGAGAAGTGAGGCAGTTTACAAGCTCAAGGCTCCTCAGTGCACTTTCTTGTATCTCCGAACCATGTGTCTCGATTAAATGGTGGTGTATATAAAACTTCCTTTGTCGTTTGTGGCTGCTCTTACACTTGCTTGCCCACTGATAGCTTCTGTCTCACCTCCTCAGGTGAAGAAAGCAACTGATGCCTACCGGAAGACAATTGCTCTCCGGGAACGCAACAAGTCACTGAAGCTGTGGCGGAGAGTGCGAGGTGGAGACATTGGACTAGAGACAGGGAACCCGAGCTTCTACCAGACCTTCTCTACATACTCATGGTCATGGAATGTCTGCCAGGAACTCCTGACACCCCGAGAACTCCGAGAGTATGATAACAAATTCTATCGTAACAGCTGCCGTTCATCCACTCCTGCAGATAAGCAGAGCAGGGCAGACAGAAAGCAGAAAGAAAGTAAAAATTAGCCCCAGATGCCCTTGGGATGGCATCCTCCTTTTCATGCATGTTCCACCAAATGGTCTCGGGCTGGTATCGGGGTCACAGTTCCTGCAACAGGAAATACAAGGCTTCACCTTTGCACATGGGCTAAAACAGTAAAAAAAAAAAACTACACTAGAAGTTTGGTTTTCCTGTTTTTGAATTCCATTCAAGGGGCAGCAGAAGGAGGAAAAGGAAGGATAAAAATTAATTGGTCTTGAGTGTCAAGATTTTGTGAATAGAAACAATTTCTTTTCTTAAGTATTTCTACAGCATGCTATCTCCCATGTTGTTGCTTTGCCAAACTTGTTTAAATCATGCACAAACTGAATTTAAAATTGAGGATTCCACATGCAGAACTAAGGATCTGAGAGAGCTTCCCTATTCCTCCTTCCTACCCTACCCCACCACAATATTTTTTATAACACAGAGGGCTCAATCTCTTCAACATCCGGCATGTGTGCTTTTTTAGTGGAGCTGGAAGCAATCTCAAAGCCAATCTAATCTATCCCACAGTTAATACAGGAAATCCGTGACTACAGCACAGCTGATTCATGGCCATCCAGCCCCCACTTAAAAAGTACATTCTGATAATCCAGTAATCCAAAGGGAGATGAAACCAACTGTGGAATAGCAGGAAGTACTATTCACTGTCATTTGTTAGGCATGTCATGAGTGGCGCCAGCTGGAGCTGGGGGTCAGACTATATGGCCCAGGAGGCCCCTCCTGATTTGCTCTGATTCTGTTTCTGTGTTTGCACTTTTATTGTAGAAGGGGATAGACAGACCTTTTCAGTGTTGTAGTGGAGACGGAGCTCACAGGGACATAGTCCTGGTACTATTCTGTTAGGAGGGATGCTAATATCATTGGCCACCCTACTGAGACCTCCCTGTTCCCTATGGAGGGGAACAGTTAGCTAGAGGAAAGTTAATTTTGCCAGCAACAATATATTGCCCTCCTTTGTAATGCAAAGGTGTTTGGGGTGGCTTAGTCTTGAGTGGGCACCTGCCTAAAGGGTGAACTGTGGAGCAGGACCCTTTGTGGGACAGACTCCCCATTGCCAGCTGGACACACCTCCACCTCTGCAGCCCCAGCTGCTGCTTCCATGCCACGAGCCACAGCCATACCACCAACTCTAAGCCACACCTTGAAAATCAACTGAGCAAAGAAGTTTGTGCAAAAGGCAAAAGCCACCAAGAAGATGGACGTATCAAAGACAACAGTCTGCAGTAAGCATGCCAAGACCAAACACCAAGGGAAGATGCCCTTGCTGGCACCTTGCACTTCCCAACTTCAAGCCACAGCCCAAGCCCAAGCCTCAACTCCCACTGGTACTGAGACTGCCTGGCAACACCTTGGTACTGACACTCCAGGGTGCACCAGCTACCTGCCTCTCAGTGGGAGAGATACAGGAGGCTTCGGCCCTGATACCAAAGCATGAATCTTCTATCACCCTGGAACCAAGACATGTCAGAGCACCATTGCCAATTCTATGTGAGGCAATGTCCAGCTGCTGCAGATACTGGTCCTGCTTGCCACTGTCCAACTGGGTTCGAAGGGCTGACTGGCTGCTACCTCCCTGATGCAGGAAGGAATGCTTACAAGACTCTTACTGAGACCACCAAGCCTCCCACAACTCCAGATACCAGGAACAGCCTTACCTGAGCCCGGCACATGCCAACCAATACCAGGCATGCAAGGAGACACCCAGAGCATCACACTCTCTGGGACGAAGGCCTGCCAATTCCAGGCCCATGCAGGACACCCAATCTACATATGCACCACCACTGGACATCTGCCAGGACCCTACTAACTGCATTCTCATCACACCATGGTGGCCCAGACAGGCCTGGTTCTTCAACCTCCTGCAGCTATCTGGCAAAACCTTCCTCCACCTCCCTCTCAGGCCTGACGTCATCTCTTAAGGATCAACACTCTGACTCACTGCTTGGAGAATTGAGGCCTGGCCACCAGCATAGCTGACTTGCATGAGGACCTCTGGCCTATCCTGAAAGCAACCCTAAAACCAGCCATGAGATGCTCCTACCACACAAAGTAACAAACCCGCATCAACTCTGCTGCACAAGAAGTCGAGCCCATCAACTGCCTAATACAGCAGCAGCTCTTATTCTTGAACGCCTTCTTCCAACACAGCCTCAAGACAGCCTCCATCCACATCTAGCCAGCAGCAACCTCTTCTGTTCACATTCTGGTACATGGACCTTCCACTTTTCCAAACCCTCTCACCTGCTGGTTCTGCTGATCTCAAAAAGCTTGCTCCTCCAACCTGATGTTAGGAACGAAATTAAGTTCCAAGTAGTGACAACGCGGGAAGCAAAGCAGCAAGAAGTACCAGTTTAATACGTTCTTGCAAAAGCGGGCACCCACCTTACAGGTAGCACGCTGTTTTGACAAAAGACATTGCCTTTTATTCCCTTTTTCTGGTTTGCAGACCCTGCCTCTTTTCTCCCACTGGCTGGGTTACTAAGAAGTCACAATCTTCTCCATCCACCTCTACCATACTACTCCTTGGTATGTTCCCCCTCCCGCTTATAAATCCCATGTTCATGCTAATAAGCCCATTACCTATGAGAGGTGTGTCAGTTATTCATAAACCGATTAAGTGTGCGCACTACTTACTATAAGTTCAATAGGTCATCTTGACCTTGCAATGGTCTTGCTTGGTGACCACTTATCTCCTAAAACTTCTGGGAGGACGAGATAGGAAGAACAAACCTTCTTCCAAGCTCATTATCTCCTCCCTTCCACAGAATGGCCAGCTGTAAAAGGCAATCAATTACCTACTATCTTCTGCAAAGTAACAAGTTGACCAATCCCCTCAACCCCACTCCTCGTGTTCTTCAGAACTTTGATGTAAGAAGCACTATTCTACCATTTCTCTTGTGTTCAAACTCAGCCATACCATATACTATTAGCCCACCTTTAATTGTTTACATCAGTAACCAATTTAAACCTATTTTTTTCTACATCCTATTTACAAATCTCTTTATACAGCTCCTTACTCTGGCCTTTGGCCTTATAAGGGTCTTTTGCTCTGGTTTTTAGCAATCCAGCATTCTTCTGCTTAGTAACAGTAATTTTCCTTCTCTCACACTGACACCCAACACCAGCTTGGAGTCTGTTAGGGTCTCAATAGGGCCTCAATCAGGATTTTAATCTCTCTAATGAAATCCTAAGGCCAAATGCATACCTACTGACAGTCATAAGCGCTGTAGCTTTATACCTCTCCTTATACCCTTGATCAATATGAAGTTAGTCAGTTTCCATAGTCAATCACTGTCAATAGGATAATTCCTCAGTTTGAAACCCCTTGTGAAATGAAACTTCTTGTTAGTAGCAAATAGATTTCTTGACAGATTGTGCCAGGCCAAACTTTACACATTGACCAGCCTGTGTGATGCTAGACTTAAAGGGCACTTTTTGTGTCACTGACACCAGCTTAAGAAATGGCAGGATCTGTTGGTGAAAAATGTGAAGGAAGTTCATGAAAAGGGACAACTGTGTTAAGATCACTCTTTCCTTTCCGCTGGAAGAGAAAAATATCCAAAGCATGCAGAGAGTTCTTTTTAAAACTTTATTGCAATGAAGGAAACAGAAAAAAATGGTTTCCTTCTCATTTTCCTGTTCACCTGAGCACATGTTCACATCCCCTTTTTATACCCTGCCCCCAGCCGCTTCTCCCTCCTCCTCTCCCCTCATTGGCTGGGGTACCGGGAGTTTACACTCTTTCCGCCCGCCTACTCTGCGCTGTTCCAATACCGGCCCTTCTTCCCAATCCAGCCCCTGCCTCCAGTGAACTACAATAGGCTCATTTTGTTCTGCCAAGCTTGTCAATAAACAATCAGGAAGTACTTGGACCTCCTGCCCACATGTCTGTTTTCCCACACTTTGTGCTACCTGATCTTAGCTCCTCCCCTCCGTTAGGCCAAGTAATTTTGTAACCTTTTAAATCTTGCTACTCACTTGTTTCAAATCATCCTTTCACACCTATCAACTGGTAACCCACACCACACACAAGACTGACATGAATAACTAAGACACAACTGAAGGAAGAAAAGCAAGAACTGGATCCCCCCCTCCCCACCACCACCCAAAAAAAGGCATGGTGGAGAAAACTGCCTACTATAGTTCTTCACAAGAATACCTGCACATTTCTTTATCTTTTACACACACACAGGGACGGGGGTGGGGGTGAGAAATGCTAGGGTGTGCATAAACGACAAGACAAGGAAGTTTAAATTAATGATCAGGGAATAAATACACATGATAATCAAACATACTCATTTCCTGCCCATAAATTCCTATTTACAAATGGGGTGTCCTTAAGAGACAGGTCATACTCTCATGCACAAGCCTTAGGTGGTTTCCTCACACAGCTGACTTGGGACATCATAAAAAAACAGCAAATTATTATTTAATTTATTAATAAATTTTAATTTGTCTACAATATTTAATGAACCCTCTTTGTCTAGGCAGATTCTGGTCAGGTGAACAATTAAAAAGCTAAAGCAGATTGAAAAAAAACAACAACCCAATACTGTATATTAAAAGAATAGTAAGTTTAAAATTGTCTGGTCAGCAGGACTTCTTAGAACAATGCGTTCAATGGCTGCTGAATGCAGCATGTATGATGTCAGTGTTAGGATTTCCAGAAATTAGAACCCCAGAATAGAAACTGAAAGCATTTGAAATAAAGGGGAGAGCCACCTTTTTCTGCAAAGAACGGTCCAATTGTTGCAGTGCAGTCCTACTCATTAGTACACATACTTATCTGGGAATGTCTCATTGAATTTAATGGAGCTTCTCAAAAATATTGCACACAAATCTTACTGGATTGCATAGTGTGGGATCCCACAACTCAGACCACCTATGCACGTGTTCGCTGTGATCTTTGGTCACATGGTTTAACTCCTTCACTCAAGGAATTCAGAGATAACAGCAGACTGACACATCTCGCTGCATAGACCGGGAATTCCCGGATTGACGCCTGGAGAAGCCATTTTGACATCCCCCCCCCCCCCCCCGAGCGGAAGGAAAAGAGACACCTGAAGACCAATGGAGAAATCAAGATTTGGCTGTTGTGATCGGGCACCAGCACGTCCGCTCAGCCGCGTTCATGCTTTTTCCAACTCAGCGTCTCTGTAGTATCTCTGTCGATATATAGGCTTGAAAACTTTTAAAACATCATCTGACCAAAGCAGATGCATTATTTATTCCCATTCTGAAGGCTATGGGAACTTTCCCCGAGTTTGCACAGTAAAGCATCAGGGTAGGAGTTTTTGCAAGCTGTGGCAGTCTAATTTAGTTTAATAGACGCTGGGGGTCAGGCTACTATGGAGCAACCCTGGAATGTAGTCCACTGCTAATATGCAGGCTATCGTTTGATATTTGCAGCTAAAAATCCTCAGACAGAACACCCCTCAGATTGCGGCAAAGGTCCGTTTAAGTCAATTGCTCCCTCAACGCTCCCCCTCAATCACAGGCAGAGGACAGCTGCATGCAGAAGCCTTGCGTTTGCAAGAAAACTTGAATGCAGAAATGTGGCATTTTAAAATGCTTAAATCCTTTGAAAATATAACAACCCGTATCGTGTGAAATATCTGCCTTTTCCGCTACTTCTGAAACTACTCCTTCCCCCACCCCCTTGCTATACAATTCGATGTATTACTCCATCAATTTTTATGGGCAGCTCTTTCGTCTTCCTCACTGGGAGAAAAGACCGCTACCGAAACCGGAGCCTCTATTTTTTGACAGCATGATGGGAGAACAGACCCGCCCTGCTCTCTCACTCGTCCGCAGGGAGCGCGCTTGGCGGGCCCTTCTGCTGCGCACGCGCGTGCCCTCTTTCAGGGAGCCTGTCAGAAGCTTCCGCGGCTGCCGGAAGAGGGGTTACGTCAGCGCTTCCGTGACCTCTCCTTCCGGGTCCGGTTGGTCCCGCCTCCTGGTTTTCCATGGCGGCGCTCAGCGACCAGGGAAAGAAAAGGAAACCGTTCGGGACACGCTTTCTCACCGACCCGACTCGCCTTTTCCAGCACAACGCCTGGTAAGGGAAAGGACGGGATTGTGGTGCGCCTTCTCCTAACAATCGTGCCCCGGGTCTTCTGCATTCCCTTTCCAGCCCGTTTCGGCTGCTCCGCAGTTTGATCCAGCCAGAGCAAACAGGCCCGTTCCCTTTCGTTCTCCACCAAACCCTGTTCTTCAAGTGGACCCCTGACTTCGAACGAATTAAGTCAGTACCATCAAATTAAGAAGGTGGCCTCCTGCCCCATGGAGTTTGCTGGCTAAAATTTGACAAAAGGGGAGTTGAATTCATTCATTTATTATTGCATTTATATACCACCCCAATAGCCTAGAGGGCTCTCTGGGTGGTTTACAAACATTAAAACCCCACCAATCCTGAACAAATTAGGTGTACCCGTGAAGTCGCGGTTCAGCGTTCTGCTTCAGTCTTTCGCGGGATTTTTCGCCGAGCGAATCCAAGCCGATCTCCTTGCGAGTAAGCCGGCACCTCTCCATGCGGCTGCTTACTCGCAAAGAGATCGTTTTCTCCGAGTTTGGACTCGCTCGGAGAAAACGATCTCTGCTTCGTCTGGGTGATGAGGACGACTAAGGGCTTCCATCTAATGCTTCATGGAAGAGGTGGTGTATGAAGAGCATCTTGGAGGAAGGAAACACATGGGCATATGGAGACATCTTTTCATTAAGTGAGTTTAGTTTTAGCCACAATGCTACTTTGATTCACATTGTTGAACTGTTTGCTTTTGGTTCTACCTCTTGCTCTTCAATTGAGAAACTGCTACTTTTCTTTCCCTACCACATGCCCAAAGCCTGTGTGTTTTCATTTTAATTTTCCTAAAACAACACGGTTTGCTTGGGTATGATTATATAAGAGCAGTTTGTTTTTGGTACCTGTGTGCAAAACTGGCTCTGAACAAGTGGCTGTTGATATGTAGGATTCCCTAATCTTGATTAATATTGCTTCCCTTCTTGCAGGGATAATGTGGAGTGGACTGAAGAGCAGGAAGCTGCTGCAGAAGCAAAGGTCCAAGAGAACAGTATACAGTTGATACCGCAAGATCAGCGAGGTATTCCAAGGTGTTCCAGTGTGCAACCTAGGCCCATCTCTCCTATCAGTGATAGCATTTGGGCCTCAGTCCAGAGAAAATTAGTTTTGATTTAGCCTCAGTGAAATGAAGCAAATTAGTGCCTGTCTTTCCTGGCTCCTACTCACAGTTTAGCCATTGCTCATATATATGAATTTGTATTAGGAACACAGAGTGCATGCTCCTGTTCTGATTCATGTTCTTTGATATCTGAGTTAGTTATGATGTGATAATCAGTTTAAAGATGCATAATAATAGTCTTCATACATGGTGTACCATCCCAGAACTTGCAGATAGATCTTTTGAAAGCACTCCTGCACTGGGAAAAAAATTAACCTAACGTTTCCATTGGCATGTTAGCTTTCAAGTATGAAATCCAGGTGATTCCCCTGGGTAAGGGCAGGCAATGATTTCCTGTGAAGAGTTGAAGGGATAGTAAATAAGAAATTTTAACTTTCCCTCCTTCAGTCATCAGATTTCTGGCAATAAGTTTCTGACAACCCCAGGAAACTGAGACTAAGCCTAATACACAGATGTTAGCTAAGTGCTTTTGTAGAGCCACCTGTATGTTCCAAACTTGTGATGATGGTAGCCTCATTTGTTTGCTGTGTTCATGCATAAAATGTGAAGAAGCTGATCTTAAAATCAAAAAAGATGCAAGGCTAAGGAGTGTTGAACCTTCCCTGGTGTCTCTGTTGCCCAAACATCTATATCCTCCAGTTTAGCTCTGGTATCAGAGGTGAGCTAATCAGAAAGTGAAGTACCTGGAATGATGCATTTACTTGAACTCCCTGGAAAGTAAAGAATTTGTCTCTCCACACCCACACACTTCTTGCAATGTTAAAATCAGACCTGTATCCTGTTTATATGTAAGTCAGGCTAGCACACAATGGAGGAGGTAATTTCAAACAGGATGTTGCCAAAAGAGGAAAGATTCAGAGCAGGGGCAGGACAAGAAGTCAAATAGGAATAGGTAACCATTTGCAGGGGCAGCATATTCAGTTAAGAAAGCCATGAGTTCTAAGTTTAAGTTATACTGTTCTAACTGCTACATTCTATTTGTGGCTGATGAGACCACTCTCTTGCAAAGACGTTGGAGCTGACTTTAGTTCACTTGTATGCCATCACCATCTTTCCAGATGCTTATGAGAAAAATGCCAACAAGTACTGGAACGACTTCTACAAAACCCACGAAAATGGTTTTTTCAAAGACCGACACTGGCTTTTCACTGAATTTCCTGAACTGGCTTCAAAACAGTGTGACAGTCAGGTTGGCATACTTGTCCCTGAGGATGCTGTAGGAAACACCAAAAACTCAGGACTTCATTCGGTGGAGACTGGGGTGTCAGAGCATGTGGACTCTGGAACAAACAGCTGTAACAGCATTCACCAGTTGCATATATCAGATGAAATGGCATTACAGAAGCTGGAGGAACAAAAGCTAAGAGATGGTGACTTCCCAGGCTCATCTGCTACCTACCGAATACTAGAGGTACAGCACGGTAAATCAGAACCTAAGGACCACCATGCAGTGGCCAACCAGATGTCTCCAGGGACATTTACAGGCACAGTGTGATGGTGAAGTTCATCCTGTGTTACTTTGCACCTGATAGTTATTGGAAAGATACTAATTGTGAACATAAATGTTGTGCATCTGTGCTTTCATGGTTAGTAACCTCCAGTGGAGCTAATGACCATACAATGCTTCTTTGAATCTAATTATGTTAGACAGTATACATTTCCTAAACATGCATCATATCAAGCAAAGTTTCTCCTCATGTGTCATGTTGCCTTTCAGTTAGATACACTGATGAATATTGCATTTTGAGATGTGATCATTTCAATATGAGCAAAGAAAAGCTACAGGATTTGCAAACTGGCTGCCACTGGGCCAAACATAGTCTCTGGGGGATACTGTGTGATTGCCACCGCCTCCCTGAAAAGGCAGCTAGCATGCACAGAAAGAGCACTGAGTTCCCATGGAACTTGAGAGTGCTGTGGGCCCCTTGTCTGCCACATTTGTCTTTTTTTAGGGCTGCCATCTTATAAAAAGCTAGTTGCTGACTAAGAAGATGATATATTTGGTCTGGCAATAAAGGGGGACTTAAAAGGAGATTCTATTTGTAGGAAGCTGTTGTGAAACAAGCATATACAATATGAATTCTTTCAAGGGGGTAACCATATTAGTTTAACAAAATGAGCAAAAAGTCTTTTGGGCACTTAAAATAAACACATCTGTTATGAGAATTTCTTATTTTCTTAGCTGCGAATATTAACTGCTTGTTTGCTTTGTTGACAGGTGGGGTGTGGTGCAGGAAACACAGTTTTCCCCATTCTCCAGACTAACAAGTAAGACGGATTGCAATTGTGAGTTTACAAATAAATAACATGGATTTTGTTTGCTTTTCGCTTTTGTTTGGTGTGAGAAATAGATTGTAAGCCTATATATGTTTGCTCAGAAGTCCCATTAAACTTAATGCGGCTTATTCCTAGGTAAACATGTATAGGATTGCAGCCTTGGTATCAAGTATGGTCCTGATTTATGTTGCTTACAGTGGGAGTCCAGTAAACTGAACTTATCTGAATCTTCCACCATGGCAAAAATGTTCTGCCTATATCTCAGTCTATTCCCCATTTTGCATGGGCAGACATTTGGAAATCACTAAGATGCATGGTGAAGTGGTACAGTCCTGTGCCAGCTGATTTTCTTTTCCTGAAATATTGGTATTTTTAAAAATGCATAGTTTTTACTTGTCCTTATTACAGCTCTGTGAATTAAGGTGAGCACAAGCTATGGGAACTACTCAAGGGACAGCTGTGAGCTTCCACCATAATCAATTGTATTTCCCAATTTATACTTGCAACAACCAGTAGACTCCAAAGAGTCTCTGCTGTGTTTCTGGTCACCAGATTTTATGACTGTTTGATTTCAGTTCTGCCTGATTTGCCTCTGCTGCCATCCAGTCAAGGGGACAGTATCTGGAAATCAAAAGTTGTTATTCCTGCTTGAAGTGTGATTTGTTGCTGTGAAGTCGCAGCTTGTCTTGTCATCATCCAGTTCTGTTACCATTTTTACACGTGGCCTTTCTCTCTTTGTTATCCTGCTTGCTCTTAAAATTCTGCTATAGCTATTTATCATTCTAAATTGGTTGATAGCTGATGGTACTGTGTGAACACAATACTGGCCTAACTGGACTCTTGGCTTGATCCAGCATGACTTCTCCGTTGTTCTTGGGTCCCTTACCATTCTTCTCTGGTTCATTTCAGTGATCCAGGCTTATTTGTATATTGCTGTGACTTCTCAACTACAGCAATAGAGCTTGTCCAGGTAAGAAACCCAAACCATTCAGAGGCTGTCTAAGCTTCTTGGCTAGAAAATGTAAAATACCATTGTGTCCTTGAAAGTATGAAGCACTTAACACATTTCTGTTGCCAATGTCAAGAGGTGTGAAATTCTACCCTAACATCCCACTGCCACCATAAAAACTTAGTACAGAACTTTGGCTTTACAACTGGAGTGGTGAAACCATTGGCTAAAATTGAGTCTAAAGCATTGGTCCACACAATAGATAATTATGAAGTAAGCCATCAGTCATGCAAAGGAGGAAAATTTACTTACTTCCTAGAGGCTCCTCCCCTCTGTCTGTCTTCTCTGTAGGTCCTGCCAGGTAGGAGTCTGGACTTGTGGCCCATCATGAGCTTGGCATTGGCAGCATCCAATGCTGAGCATTGGCCCTCTAATGAGAGGGGATGAATTTCCTGCCTCAGGTGCAATATGAAAACAAAAGCAATAGGCAATGTTTCCCTTCACTTAAGGTCACTATACATGTGGGCTTTCTGCAGTTTCTTACATAGAATTGATTTCTGTGAGGCAATTGATTTCTGTGAGGCATCCCTTATTTTAAGCAGAAGTATTCCTAGTGCTCTGCTGCAGAAATTTGGGTCAAGGTGGGTCCAATGAGCGATAGTTTTGGACATAGATCAAACCACTATTCAGCCATGAAGCTGACTGGGGGAGATTGGCAAGTATCAATCTCTTTGGCTTAATCCAGTCCACAGGATTGTGGTGAGGGTGAAATAAAAAACTACTGTAAGAAGGATAATTGTGTGAACCTGCAGGCTCATCCAGAATATGATACATCTCGCTGCTTTGCCTTCGTTCATGACCTGTGTGAGACTCAGATGCCGTTTCCAATACCGGATGAGACTCTTGATGTGGTGGTTCTCATCTTTGTCCTTTCAGCCATTCTTCCGGAAAAGTATGTAACCTTTAGTTGGGTGTGTTTGCCTAACATAGACAGCAGTGTGCCCAGGGAGATAGAGACTGATGCAAAATTGCATTTTCATGACAGACAAGGAACGACAGCAGATCAAGAGGATTTGTGAAAGCAAGGGCTGTCTATTATGAAAGTGGGCAGTAGAAATGATTGTGAGCCATATTTTTTCTTGGCTTCATCTAGTTATACTGAGCTACTGGCATACCTCAATAGCTGCTGTTTGTTTTCTTTCTCAATCTTTTCCTCAGAATGCAGGGTATTATCATCAGACTTAGCCAGCTTTTAAAGCCTGGTGGAATTATTTTGTTACGAGATTATGGACGTTATGATCTAGCCCAGCTCCGCTTTAAGCAAGGTATGGTAGGGATGGGGCGATGACGCACTTCCTCTGCATTTCAGTTATTTTTCTTGCAAGAAGCTTCTAGCCTTCAACTGGGAAATTGGACACCAAGAGAGATTTTAGAAGGCACTGGAGTGAAGGGTCTCTGTCTCCTCTGTGACCAAAAGGACAAAAGCTGCTGAATGTATGTATGTGTGCATATGGAAGTGAATGATACAAAATGTTTTTCTGCATCTTTTGGGGCCATGCAAAGGACTTGTTTTTATATGGGATAAACACCAGTATTGATTTTTTGCCCAAGCAGTGGAAGGAGGAGATAACCAGGTCAGATTGTTTTCAGATATTTTGTGAGGAGTACATTTTAGTACAATAGAAAGTGCACAACTGAGTTCCAGATGGTGACAAGGAACAAGAAAACAAATACTATTGGAGGGTTGTTTAATAGCATGTTGTATGCAACTTGCTTCTGTATGTCACGGAAAGAAAAAGGGAGATAAAGATGACTGAAAAGGAGACAGTGGAAAAACCTGTATTTTCCGGTTCAGTTGGAAGAAAGGAAGTGCTTGTGGGGCAGTGGAATAGGGGAGTAAACTGCTGGGTTTGTCAGATTACCTCAGCCAGAGAGACCAGCCTCTGCATATATTCTGCCAAGTTTCTTGACCTGTTTCAAGCTTGGAAACACTTGAGCACTTGCTGAATTGCACCCCATCCTCCCCAGCTGCATGCCTATTAACGAAAGGAAAACACGCAAACCCATCTTGTTGCAGCCTTATGACTGTGAATTGGTGATCAATACCACTCCCTTTTGGGAGAAGCAGCCGTTTGAAGAAGCTGAACAGTACTCAGAATTCTCATTCCTCTCTTCCAGGTCAGTGTTTGGCTGATAACTTCTATGTGAGAGGAGATGGCACCAGAGTTTATTTCTTTACACAAGGTAATGGATTTCCAGCTCCAACCACAGGCTGTCGAGGCTTAGATTCTGCTTGCCAACAAGAGGCAACTGTTTGGAAAACTGAAACTTCTTGGAACAGAGGAAGTTACCTCATACCGAGTCAAACCATTGGTCCAGCTAGCCCAGGACTGTTGAAAATCACTGGCAGCGGCTGTAGCTCTCCAGGGATTCAGGCAGGGCTTTTCCAGGCTTACCTGGAGATGACCTGAGACCTTCTGTATGCACAGCAGATGCTCTGTGACTGAGCCAGGGACATAGGAGGGCAGTGGGTAGGAAGTGATACTTTATTAAAAGTGACTGTTGATTGCAGGGAAAAAACAGGTAGATAATCTGTTTCAAACCATTTCTGATATCGCTTTTATATACACGTGGAGCTGTGGTGTGCTTCCTCCTGCCATGAGAAATGCTATTTTTTGTCATTCAAGAAGAACAAAATCCTAAAGGCAGGATAACAAAAATATCCAAATCTCAGAAAGAAGATGGTAAGTAAGGAAGCACAAATATTTTAATTTGAGTTAGATGCAGGCAACCTTTTTGGGCTGTCGGCACATTTGTCAATTAAGGACCACCTGGGCACCTCCACAAAATATAGCTCACTTGAGTGGCATGGCCAAAAGGCTGAGTACAAGGAAAAAGTGGGATTTGAGTCCTAAAACACTAAACAGAACAAGAGAAACTTATTTCGGAGCAGTCCCAGCTGCCAGTTAGAAAATGTGATAAAGTGGGATGGGTAGGAATCTTCAGTAGGCATGAAGAAAGGTATCTGGGGGTACATTGGTATTGGTGAGCACTGTATTGCTTAGCCATGATTTAAATACTGGTTTACAGATTCAAATATTACAGTTGGAAAAACAATTTGGCTATTGGAAAACTGCTGCAGGCTGGCATGTTCCATGGCTTTGTAAACATAGTTTGCATCTATGCATACTTCGGTTACTGCTAACCATTGCTTTCCCCCAAACCAGTGCATGCACTTATTCTTTGTTTTTATTAACATTTTATGAGGGGATACACTCATAAAGGAGCCCTAGTTGTTTCTGTTTTGCTGTCTTGCTCTAAGATCTCGCATTTTACTTCACCATTGGCACACTGGTTGGGTTTGCACGACATGACAACCCATCGTGGGTGATAATCCAAAGTGGTTTGTCCTGTTGCATGAACCCAGAGCAATTCCTGCAGGGAGGCTTGCTTGAGAGCAACAAGCCACTCTGATAACCCATGGCTTTTTGCACTCATATTGAGTTGCCAAATAGCAAAACCCCCTTACTGCTCTTACCAGTCTTGCCTGGACACCCACCAGTGCCAGCTGCCCCCAGATGCCCAATCAACTCTTGGTGTTAGCTAGCCTGAGCTTGCTGTCCTCCCTTCTGGAGTTGTGAACTGTTTCAGCTTGCTGCAGCTTTTTTACACTTCCCCCTCTTCACTTTGGACATCATGAAGTCATGCTTGACAGATGGTTATTACAATTTGTTTTGATAATCCGTTCAGAGTCCCCAAATGGCACCTTGGTTGGGCTTTTTGGGGTTGCCAAGATAATTTTTAATTTGGGAGTGATCCCCTAATGTGTACAAGTATTTGCGCACATTATTTTAAAAGATTTTCCAGTCTTTTGCAAGTTCTGCAAGTTGCAGAAGTCTGAAAATGGGCAGCTTGGACAATCTCCAGGGAAGAACCTGCTGTCAGCATGCAGTAGGTGTGAACCAAGAAGTTCCCAGTAGTCTTTCCCACTTTCATTTGCTTTGACAGCTGTCAAAAAGTGAGCTGTCAAACCAAACACAAATGATCATTGCTTGTGAAAAGGGGATGGTAGGATTTACATCCCCTTTGTACCCTTCCTTTTCTATTTTAACTACACTGCCTTAAGAGTTCTCTTACTTTTCCATTTGTTCTTGAGATTCTAGGTGCTCAGGAACATGGAAAAGCCACTCCTTTTAAAGGAAGCTGTTAGTTTTGGCAATTCTCTGCTGAAATGCCAGTTCCTTTAATGGGGTGGGGTTTGGCAAAAATCCACCTTTTTTAATGAATATGTTCCTATAAACAATCCATTGAGATCCCTGTTGAAAAGCTTTTTTAAAAGAACCAGACTTTTAACAACTAAGGTTCAATTTAGATGCCAGGAAGTACTTCCTGACAGTTCGGACCCCGAGGGTGTGGAATGGGCTTCCATGGAAGGTGGTTAAAGCCCCATTGGTGAGGTTGTTCAAAGATAGGCTAGATATGCACATGGTGGGCATGTCATGAGCAGAGCTGGCTGAAGCCGGGGGTCAGACTAGATGGCCCGAGAGACCCCTTCTGACTTGCTCTGTTTCTTTGTCTTAGGACAGTTAACCGTCCTGACCTTGCCAAAGAAAGAAGATATTGCTGTAAAGGGAGTGTAAAGACTACTTGCAAATTTGGTTTGACTTGAGAGCTTGCTTTTTGACAGCTGTCAAAAACATCTTATGATGGAAGTGGGGAGAGGAAGACAAGTCAATCCTGCCATGGGGTTCCCTGGGATATCTGCAGGAGGACATAGGAGTGGGTGAACAACCCACTGATCATCTGTCAGACACAGAACAAGCAACCCAGTTTTATATTGCAAGAGTGAGTTGTCAAGTGGTGCAGCCTCACTGCTGTCTGGATGGTGTAAGGGTGATTGGGGTTGGAGAAGTGGAGGCCTGCAATAAAAGGTTAGACTAGAATGATTTCTAGTTTTTCTTTCCCTTCCAGAGAAAAGATGAATTTATCACAGCCAGAATTCAAATTGGAGCCAATTAGTCAGATCCTATTATAAGAATTTTGAACCAGTATCACTAATTGATAGTTTGTTCTCAGGTTTTCATTTGAAATGACTGGTTAGGGTGTGACCAGATTCTCTCAACCACCTTCATGTGAACCTGCCTGAAGATTCATTTAGCTACTGAGGTCCTGCTTCAGGTTCATCTCCATCAAAAATATGGCAGTTTTTGACAGAGCCTTTTCTGGGGTGGTGGCCAAGATTCGGAACAGTCTTTCAAGAGAGGTTTATCTCTTTGCTGCTTGTCTTATCTTAAGACTTTTTACCCTTGGAATCTTTTTATAAATGTTTATTTATCTAGAGCATTTTTGTTGGTTTTATTGATGTTCTTTGTCCTTACAATTATGTAGCGTACTGTCTTAATTATAAACTGTTTTATAAATACTGACAAACAAAATTGTTTCCTTTTTCTATTAGATGAATTGGATTTACTCTTCTCTACTGCTGGCCTGGAGAAAGTTCAGAATATTGTGGACCGTCGCCTCCAGGTGAATAGAGGAAAACAGATCACCATGTACAGGATCTGGATCCAGTGCAAATATCGCAAACCCATCAGGCCAAGAGGAATGAAGGAATCTCTAGTGGAGAGGCCACCACCTCACCATTGTGGCTGAACATAACGAGATCTGTCTTGGACAAGGAAGATTTTTCCCCAGGATTCAGGGGACATTATCATAGACTTGATACAGCAATAGGACTCTGCTGGAAGCACTGGCTTCAACTTTCACGTGCAGTGAATATTTTAATTTTTTTAAATAAAAAATTAAATTTTACTGGATGATCCCAGGTCCTGGTATTTTATGAGGAAGCACAACTTTGTCCTATCCACTTTTCCCATTTTGCTCCATTATGCATCTAAGCACAAGGGAATGAACAGATGAGGTAGCTCAGAGAAAGCTATGCAATGCTCCAAACTCTGGCCATTGTGTCTCATGTGCATAAAGCTAAAACTAAATTCCATATGTAGAAACTCCCTCATGTATTAAACCATGATTTATTTTAAATAAATTTATATTACATATGATTCCAGCCACTTGACAGAAGATTGTATGGCCATCTCTAATGTGTTATCTGTGCAAAAGGAAGGCACAACTTCCAGCCATCCAGTACCCCTGAATAAGCACGGCCCAGAATAGTCATTAATGCTATGAAAGTAACCTAAGGTGATCACCAAGTGAGGCAATCAGGAGAATGTCACTGACTTCAGTCAAGCAAAGAACAAGGAACAACAGATGCCCAGAGGCAGTTGCTAAGTAAGAATGAAGCTCTGCCCCCAGCCAGAGTCCTCCAAGATGTATCTGTGAGGTACTCAATCATCTACTTCCCTCTGTTACTCTCTTGCCATAAACCCCACCACCATCCCACTATCCTGCAAGGGAAAATATAGCTGGCCAGCCAATAGGTCATAGGCTGTGCAATAATCTTATCACTGGGACTAAGCAACTTTGGGTGCTCCAATGGCTGCTTTCCACCCCAAAGATTCCCCTATCAGGCCATGTTCTTGCCACTCTCAAAATTGGTAGTTTGCTTCTAAATTTTGGCAGCAGCCATTTTTAGAGACTAAAAGGTCAAAGTTAGCCTGGAAGCAAGCTATCCTATGAAAGCCTCTGCAGTGACCAAACTGCTTATTTCTTGCCATCAAAATTCTAGTGGAGAGTTGGTATATGGGAAGGGAGCATTCTACAACCCCTTCCCAATAGCCACCTTGCTTTGTGCTCTACACATTTCCTGCTGCTGGCCCATTTATACCATAGGCCAAGATCTTTAAGGGAAGGTATAGCTAGCCAAGTTTAATCCCTCCTTCACACACACCACAGAGATGGAGTTGCACGTTCCACTATTGGAGGTAGACCATGAAGCTTGTTATGCAGCATGCCCATTTTCACATTATCACACCTCAGACACCTACACGGCCGGCAGGCAGGCAGGCATGGCTTCCTACAGGATTGGGTTGCCATTGAGGATCGCCACACTCTGCTAGGCCCACGTTTTCAGGAGAGACAAGCCAAGGGCAGCAACTTCATCCTTCAGAAGATACTGGTGAGCTTATGCAATTTGGAATGGGATTTCCAGAAGGATGTGATAAATCTTCACATTGTCTCCCAGTCCTCTAACAGAAATTCAAATAATTTGGAGTACTATCGTATTTGTTGTAGCAGTGAATTATTTTCCCTTCCTATGGCTGATGAATATCTGATAAGGTTCTGAGATGCCTTCTGTGTGACTGGAAGGGGTGCCCAGAATTATGTACAATGCTGCATAAAGTTATTCTAAGGCACCAGATCCCATTTGTGGCAGATGCCCATGGTCAGGATGCCCCAGAGATCCCACAAGCTGGCAGGGAAGACTCCTTATGAAATGTAAGCATGAGATTGTGCAGCTATGTAAGTCTTTGGTTCAGGCCTTGTGTTATCAGGAGTAACGGGAAAGAATTTGAGTCTCCAATGCCAACATAGGACTGCTGCACAGATAGCCCCAGATTCCCCAAAATTCATACACACCCATGTAATTTTATATCCCTTTTCCTTGGGTCTTGTGTTGTATAGGTGCAACTACCCTGCCCTTTGTCTTGTTGGGAGGTGAATTTGACAACACTAACTACTCCCTTTCTTGTGCTTGCCGAACTCTTTGTAGTGAGATCTTCAGGGACTTGAGATCAGGCTACCAACCACAGTCAGGCCTTGCACCATTGGTTCTTTTCCCCCAAGTTGTCCTTAGGCTCCAGCAGCAGACAATGCATTCTGATACAGGCTTCCACACTTTGTGTTCCTCTAGACTTCGTACCACCACTTCTATCAGCTGCAGCCAACATGGTCAACGGATAGGAACAACAGGAATTCCAATTTACAGCCTCTGGAAGGACGCAGGTTGAGAAATGCTACTCTAGTGGATCTTTCCTCAGCCAAACCTAGTAAAGATTACTCAATTCAATGACAGATTCAGATGTCAGTCATCTTTATTGAGCAACAATAGTGTAAAGGCACCAGGTGACAGGGGGCATAGTTGTCATTCAGTTCCCTGGGGTTTCTCTATGATGTCCGTTGCCCTAGACAATGACCAAACAGGCAGCAGGTGCAGAGTGTCTCTATAGGTCTGTGGCCACTGCTACACATATGTTATGACTGTGCCAGGAAGATTCCAATGATGAAGGAGCCTGGTTAAATGGGGTGGGACGGTGTTGCACCTGAAGCAGACGGAACCTTCCTAAAGAGCATGGCTTGTAAGAATACAGGACAGCCTTTGATGTCAGTGCAATTACGGAATGAGCTCTCCAAAGTACACCTGGCACCAACTCTGCATTCTTTTCAGTGCCATGTGTAACCCCTTTTATTTTCCCAGTATTTTAACAGTTTAACATTTTTGCTTTAATTTTAATATTGCATTATATCCTGTACCACTGCTAGGCCTCTATACTGATTCAGTTAGAATGGTTATAGTTGTTGCTTTATGTTAATTTTTTGTTGTTTGTATGTTTAATTTTTGTTAATCACCCAGAGAACTTCAGCAACTGGGCAATATAAAAATGAAATTAATATATAAATAAAGTAGCAAAAGTAACCAATTCCTGATCGGACAGCAGCCTGAGGAGAAAAAAGTAGAAAGAACAATCAGCAGACATTATCTGTAACACCATGTGCAAATGTTAGGATCATACAGCAGTATGAGTTAAAGTGGTGTGGTGGAAATGGGGTACAACAATCCATGTTCCTTCATCAGTCTCTCCTCTCTGGCAAGAAACAAGCAGGTAGAACAAAATAAGCATGCTGTTACTACTGTCTTCTGTGGGCTGCAGTAAGCCTCTGAAGTCAACATACATGACTGAGAGAATCTAGGGTATTAGTCTGTAAGACCAAGTTGAATATGCATAGTTTGTCAAAGACCTCAGTGATCAGAGTGTCTTGCTATGAGCTATGGAAATCTGTATTAAAATGTTTTGGATACTAAACAAAAAAGGCAATTGCTGAATCATGCTCTGCTTGATTCACGTTCTGCTCTCACATGCAAAAGGGGGATGGGGGAGAAATGTGTCAGTTTCAGTAGATAGCTATTGCACCCTGGGCACTACCGCATATACCAAGAATGAAAGGGTATGTTGGTTTGGGCCCTCTGCACTGTACAGATGTGGTATGCAGGAAGCCTGCCTCTGTCTGTTGGTAGGAGTGAAGAATGCTACAACACTGCACCTGGGACAAGAATTGAAAGGGAAATTAAGACAAAGGAGACAGTTTGGGTAATTCCCCTTACACATCTGTTTCCCCTCATCCAAAGACAGTTTGCCTTCTTACCATGATTGGGCAGGTGGGGAGACAAGAAAAGTAGTTTCAGCAGTTCCCCTAACAACATCAGTAACACCTTCCCATTCCACCACCATGCCTTACCTCAGCAGTGTGCCTGTAATTGGGGGGCCTGGTTCCTGGAGTTGGTGTTTGGTGTCTGTGGTAGCAATCCTGAGTATACCAATGTACAGCATTTCTTCACAGAGCAGACAAAAGGGATTCCCACATGCATGGGAGTGTGCAAAGCCCCCTCCAGAATATAAAGGGCAAGTACCTTTTTTCCACAGGTTATCACCACAAGATATTCCCTCTGTGAACTCTAAGCATGTAAGTCATATGGCCAGAAAGATCTAACACCGCACACATGACCTGGAGTAGTCTGACCCTGCTTTTTATTTCCTACTATGCGTCTTACAGAACGTCTCTTTATATAAAGCAAGCACTACATTTTAAGCAAGGTTGTGTTGTAGGGAGACAATAAGCTCAATTATTTTAATGTTGGCACTTCAGGGAGCTGAATCCTCACAGCACTGAAAAATAAAACCTGAATTGAAATACTGCTTTTACAGAATCCCTTATGGCTTTGTGCAAAACCAACTCTAGCTATGAGGAGGCCTAGGGGCAGAATGTCCCCATGTAAGCTCCCTTCAGCAGACCCTGGTAGACTTGTCTCCTGCTTGTAGCAGCCAGCAGTAGCATTTTGAACAGGGCCAAGTGGCTGGATCTAGCCACTAGCTTTATTTCCACAGTGGTCTTTATGCAGCATCCCTCCAGGGCATTATGAGAATTTAAAATGGCAGCTACACTCAGCACAGAACCAGACTGGATATGTTTTTAATGGGCCATGGTGGATGACAATGATGATTCTTCAGAGGAAGGAGAGGCTGTAATTCCCCAGGGAAAGAAAGCTAGCCATCATATTTGGGAGTTTGTTCAAAGGATAAAAAGTCAGATAGGCCAAAAAAAGGTGTGTGATTCCTGCCCTCCCATCTTGACTATCAGAAACTCAGCAGCTTCAAGAAAAGTATCTGATATATCAGATACATGTGGATTATATAGTTTGAGTTAACTCAGAACAAAGGGCAATAGAAGTCTCCCCATGAATTCCCCCCATGGTTAATTTTATTTCAAGCTATTTCTACTCCACAAGCCAGGATTTTAATCGAGTATTTTCCCCACTGCATGTTAATATTGTATACCTTTGGCAAATACCTCCCACAATCTTTTTATGCCTCCACCCATCCATTCACCAAATAAGCCGCTATCTTATTCCTTCTTACCTTGAGGTAAGCATCACTGAACTCAGTAGGACTTGCTTGATGCCTAGGATTATCCTTTAAGACACTCCCCAGTAGACTGCCACCTCCCTCATAATCTCGTACCTTTTGCATCTTTCATATGCTGTCTCAAGTGAATGAAATTCCTCCTTGCATGACCATTTTCATTAAGCTACTAATAATTTCAAACAATGCTGCACACTTTATTTTCTTCTCCAATGAACCTTTGTAATTACCACTTTGAAGTAAGCACCCTAATTCAGTTGAATGTCCGTTAATCTAGACCCCTCTTGAAACTACATTTCCCTTAAAGCACAAAAGCCCCTTTCCCTTTCACACACCACAGTGGCATCACGTATGGATTCCTCTGATTAAGAAAATCATTTGACAGAAAGACATCCCGACCAGCACCACAAGCCCCTATACTGGCCACACACACACCTCACCTACCTTAGATTCTTCTATGTAAAAAGAAACCCCCATGCACACGCCCCATGCTTGAGGCCCTCAGTGCGTTCTTCTCCCTGATGCCCACATCCAGTTCTCCTTTTACAATCACTGCCGCCAGAAATACCTTTCTAGGCCTCGATTCCCTTGACAAAGACCCTAACCCTGCACTCCCTTACCTGATATGCTAGAATCGTTCCTTAGTTCTGCAAGTATTCCCTTAAGCTACTGATCTTCCTCACCTTGCAGTAATTCCACTAATGCATAAATACCCCTCACCTCATGCCGGCACAGACCAAACATAACCACATCTTAGTCTCTAAGCTCTCCCTCATTCTCGTTGCTCCACCCCATGCTTGTAGCACCTCCTCGTACTGACCCGACCCCTCCCCCACCTTTTCTCACTAGCACCAACTTCCCCTCCCACCCGTGCAAATCTCGCGAGACAATACGCGCTTTCACAAGTGGTGTTTTTTTTATTTGCACCAATCGATCCGGGGGCCGGGCTTTAAAAAAATGACTAAGTAAAGAAGGGCGGGGAAAGGGGGTGTACAGTTTGGGGGGAGTGAAATGTGGGGGGCCACCCCGCCCCCGTTGATCGCATCTTGCAACTCTACACACACACCTGAATAGCTTTTTATTTTTAGCAACCCCCCCATGCTAGCCACTTTCCTTTCCTCTCTAACCCTTCCTTGGGGAAAAGAAGGTGGAGAGTCCCTCAATCCTCCCGGGAACGAGATTGACTTTGCCGGGCTCGGAGTCTACGTGAGGCCGAGGATTTTGCGGCCTGCATCACTCTTGGTGTCTGCTGAGAAAGCGCCGCAGCTGCTCCCCCCCTCCTCCTCCAGCGGTCCCTCCTTCTCTCCCTCCCTATCTTCTCCTTGTAGCAAAAAGGCCCCGCAACTGGCTAGGCAGAAGTGGAGCCTAGCCGATCCACCACAGGTGAGACCGCGTCCCGTGTTCCACTGAGGAAAAAGAGACTCACTTCCCTCCGTCGTCCTTCCAGGCCGTGGCTGGCTGATGAGCAGGCCGGTTTTCTTTCCTCTCTCGCTCGTAGGCCTCGGGGGCTGGGGAAGAGGTGTCTCTGGAATTGCCGAGGTAACCTTCTGTGGTGGTTTTGTGTGTATTTTTTGAGGGAGGGGTATGTAGGCCTTAGGGCTGTTTTTTCTCCTCCCCCCTCTCTTTAGTTGCTGTGGTAACGTCTTGGGGGGGATCGGCCTCTATAGGCCTTGAGAGCCCACCCCATCCCTCGTTGGTTTCTATAGTAACCTTGCGGAAGGAAAGGGAGGGCGCCCCCCAATGAGTAAAACCTAAGGAAAGGGGTTCAGGTAACTATGGTAACGTTGTGGGGGGCGGCGGTACCCCTACACTTGCGTGTGTATACGTGTAGGCCTTTGGGCGGGGAGGGAGCAATTTCTGCTCTTCCAGTGGTTTAAAAAATCCGTAAAGAATTTTAGTAGTAGAAGTACGAGTAGTGGTAGTATTTGGGTGGGGGTGAGGCAGATACTTGCCTGTGGCGACCACATTTGCCGCTTCGCGTGTAGGCCTCGGGGCAGGCCTACCTTGCTAAGTTAAGGGGGGGTGCATCTAAGGGCTTAGAGAGGGAGAGCTGTGTTGGGGGCGAGTGCCTGGGTCGTTGCTATGGGAGCGTTCTTGTCGGTTGTGGGTGGGTGGGGGAGCTGCCCTCGCGCCTGTAGATGGTGGGGGAAAGAAAATATACGTTACCATGGTAACTTTGTGTGGGCGGGGAGGGGGACGCGCGCACCCCTGTGAGTGAACGGACGGACGGACAGGGGGTGTCAACCGAGGCTCTGGGTAGGCCTAGTATTAGGGGCTGAATTCTCGGCCTAGAAGCGTGGGGACTTTTGGGAGTGTCCTGTGGGCAGGGGGGAGTGAGATAGCACCGACCACGTCCTTGTGGGAGGCGAGGCTATCAAGAGTGGGAGTCGCCATGGCTGGAAGTTTGGGTGGATATATTTGTTAAATGGTTGCTTGTACAAGAGAAAAGTTCTGTCACTGCCCACGGAATTACTAGGGATGGTTCCCATTTCTTAAGTTTAAATGGGGTGATTTGTAGTGAGCAGGGTTCTTGTAAGTAACTGTTGCCTTTAAGAGCTGATGTATCTATCTCTTGGTAACTGGTCTGTGCAAAGAGCCTTTAGGGTAGCAACCTACTTTTTCATTTGAAATGGGTAAGTTCTGATGTGGTAGTTTGATGTTTCCATAAAATGTTCTTAAGAGCAGCCCTTTGGGATCAGACCAGAGGCCTACATCTCATGCAGCATTTTGCTGCCACAATTGGTCAACAAGGTGGTTAAGGGAAACTGACAAGCTGGGCATGAGTGTTTTCCCACTGGTGTTTTCCAGCAATTAGAATTCAAAAGTATATGTACTAGTATACACTGGAGCATATAATAAGAAAGCAGACCTAAGAGATGGGGTGCAGGTTACAGAGCAAAATAAAATTGTTTATGGGTATAGTGGAAAATCAGAGCTAGAGTGGGATGCCACCTTGTGAGTCTTGGTAGATTTATATATGGAGGTGGGTTATATGTTTGTGCAGTACTTAAAATCCTATAAAAATGAATAAGCTATTTCTTATTCTGTTCCCCCACCCCAAGTCTCTGGTGGACACCTGTCCTTGCTAGAGATTCTCAGTTCCCACTTAAGGGAATTCCATGTGCTGTGTTTGTGCGTGTGTGGGGGAAATCATACATCTGTTTAAAACATGCACAAATGGTTTTTACAGATACCAGCCTACCTTAGGAGTTCAGAAGCCCCTGGGGGAGGGGGTGACAAACTCACTTTTGTGTGATTTGCTTTTAACTTGTGCGTCTGGTAATTCTGTAGATTCCATGGCCTTTTCTGTTGATTCCTTTTTTATTGAGCCTTTTCAGTAGTCCTATTTAGGGGCCATTTGAGAATGTATATATGTATGCTCAATAAGGACAACTTTTCACATTCTAACAAATCGCCTGATCTTAAAATTGCAATATACCTTTTATTTCCAAACAAAAGTTTGGCTAAAGCTGTAAACCTCACAGACATATTCATAGGATGTTCTTATGAGTGCCATCAGCAATACACAGTAAGCTATCTTATTTATATTTGTATCCTGCCTCTATGTTAATCACAATGATCTATGAGGCTAACAATGTGATTACTACAAGATTACTAAAATGTCAGAAGCAGAAAGGTAACAAAATGGTTGAAAAAGGAAAACCTAATAATAGTCAAATGCTTGCCAGTGAAGCAAGTCCTGCTTCAGTAATGGAGGACCAACAAAGAGCGGGCAAAAAGAAATTCCTGAGATAAGGAATTTCAGCGCCTGGGAGTATTTATCAACAAAGTTCTCCCTTGCATCACAGACAGACACAACTTTGATATAGGTGCTACACAGAAAAGATCCCTCCAGAAGATTTTAGTGGACAGACAGACTCATATGAAAGGGGACAATCTTTTATGTGACCTGGTATATTAACCCCTGTCTGTGTTTAAAAAGTTCACTGCATTTTCCCTTAGTGGTGAACTTTAAAAAAAATTACACTGATGCCACTTCTGCAGAAATGGTGATGGGGACAAAATGGAGAGTAAACAGAACAATTGCTATGATGTCAGTGTGTTTTTTCTCCCCTTTCTAAAGGGCTTTTACCCTTCAGGAATATTCCTTATAAGCATGTGCTGGATGCAGAGCAATTCAATACTTTATCTTTTAGCTGGGGAAATAAAAGTAGAACAAATAGTTCTGGGAACAATGCATTCAGGAATAAGTGAATCATTGGGCCCAATGCATTTTGCTACGCTGTCCTTTGTAAATCAGTTCTAATTATATGTTTCAAAAACAGTGGAAATGATTCAGGAATTCTATTCCCCCTCCCCCACTGTTTCTGTCATGGCCTCTGGTTCTGCTTAGTGTTCATGGGTACCATTCAGGAATCAAGTTCATGGTAGCTATGTCTGGGACATTGTGCATGAACTGGAAAGGAGAAGAAAATACCTTTTCTTCCCTTAGTGTTCATGCTTTCATTTCTATGGCATTTTTTTAGCTTCGTAACATTTGAGCAGGTAAGTTAGGAGCTGCAGGATAGAGAATGGTAAAGATCCTGCTCTGTAGTAATGTTTGATTACATGAGCACCTACCTATTGCTGAGTTTGGAAAATTAAATAGAAGTGGAAAAAACCTGAAATGTTTGGTCAGCCATATTTCTAGTTGTTTTGAATATGAGTTTTTAGAAACAAACTGCTTCAGTTTATTGTAAATGCATGCTAAGTTTTAATTGTTTCTAGACATCATTATTGGTAACTGCTGTGAAGAGTGAATTCACATGAATAATTAAACTGTTTGGATTTTTTAAATTCTTTAAATTTTAATTCTTTAAATTTCAAGGATCTTGGCCTTATATATGGGGAAGGGTGTACATAGCTGCTGTAGGACCCTTGATCCAATGGGTTCTTTGTATGAAGAGGGATGTAGGGTGCCAAATGCGATCAGGTTCAATAGAAGGCATGGCAGGAAACATGTACTACCAGAAGGAAGTTAGTTGGCACATTTGTGTGCATGGCAGGTAGAGAAGGATCCATCAGCAAACTTCTGGGTCAAACAAGATTGGTTAAGGAGGCTATCAGACCATACAATATTCAAAGGAGAATATAATTTATCTTGGGAAGCAAAAGTAGTATTTCCATCACTGGTTTGGTGTAAAGTGTGGCTAATAATAGAAGATTGAACTGTAATTTTGAGCTGTGCGGAGAAAACATGTTTGTATTTTGATAGAAGAGATTTGTAAATGCAGCATCCATAGCACCTGTTTGAACATTTAAGGGGTGTATGAGATACTACCAGCATTTTTCTTTGAAAGAAAAGTATATTTGGGTCAAACAAGTACTTCAGAGGTGATCACCCCCATTTTCACTTAGTTATGGGTACTACAGGACTGAAGTAGTTAATCTTGCAATTTAATCCACCTGTAGTTTTGTTTTCACAGCATCAGCCTGCTATAGGGGTTCTGTGGACTCCTTTAAATTCTTAGCTTGTAATAAATAAAGAATTGATTTCAAAATAACTCCAGTGTGGCAGTAGGATAGATTTTAATGGCATAGCATAATGCACAAACTTTTGAGGGTACATTAAGCCTTACAGTATTAACATAAAGAGAAAACAGAAAAGAAAATGTAAAATACATAGAAGAAATAGTGGTTCATAACAGATGAGAAAGCAAAACAAAAATCAAATGCTATAGGTAAAATACTGAGCTTATAGTAAATAGTGAAACATCCTGTGTGCTCCCATAACCTGATAGAGTTTTCACCAAATAGAACATTGCAACAGTAAGGTTTTTAAAGATTTGTAAGTTTGCATTGTAAGAGTGTTAACTCCAGTGTCCAGATAAATCCAGTTGAGAGTAGAATTGAAGCCAGGTAAAATGTAGGGTTTAAAGGCAAAATTTACTCCTGGAGTCCAGTAGCTCCTTGTAATATTTTAATGTGGGGGTGCATTTTTGTCATTGCTGTTATTTTTGTGTAACATGGCCAAGAACAGTGATTGTGGAGATCAGAAAGTTGACTATCATGACTGCTTAAAAAAAATTTCAAAGTTATGTCAAACATCTGCTAGGATCCACAACTACTCTAGTGATTTAGAGGGTTAAGAGTAGATTATATAGAGTTTATATAGATTATATACAATAGATCCAGGTTGAGTTAGTCATGCTTCTGTCGAGACTAATGTCCAATCAGTTTTAGTTGGACTGCAAGCTATTCCTGAATCACATGAGGAGTAACTACAGTACTGCTGCCATTCATTTCTCTCTTACTGTCTTGTCTCTCTTGCTTCTGGTGGCCTTGCAGTTGTATTCTCTTCTGATAGCATTGCATTCAAAATGGTGTCTTACAGGCTTTCTTTGAGATGAAAAAGAGGAACATTTGGGGGACTAACTGTGCTTTTTATCCAAGTAGAGAAAAATAAAGATGTAGCCCCATGAAGGATTAGACCTGCCCCCAAAGGCTTTGGGGGCAGATCTACAACTTTCAGTCCACCTCAGCTGTAGGACGTTCTCCTGTTTAGACATACTTTAGATTGTGCTGACAGTTACATATGAGAAAGGAAGGATTGTGGCGTGTGATGTGCATGTGTGGTGCATAGCTAAATCTCAATCAAGAAATAGACATTGTAAAAATAAGTGTTACTTTTCCGTGGTAATTATGCCATGACAAAATTGTAATGCCAAATGCATGTGTATATGGTTGCTTTACTGCAATTAATGTTCCTTTAGATTCATTTTAAGATTTAAACAGTATCATGACAAGCTTTAATTCAAATATTTAATGTTAGAACATTTTCCTTATGGTGAATTATTATCTTTATTAGCAGATATGATGGAAGAACTGCATAGCCTGGATCCACGACGGCAGGAACTGTTGGAGGCCAGATTCACTGGAGCAGGAGTGGCAAAGGTTAGTATGAGCACAGCCATATAATTCAATATGAATACTTGTATAGGCAGCTAGCATTAGATGTCTGGGTGCACTATAACAATCCTTGTGGTTGTGTTTTGTTTTTAATTTGTGTCATGGTGTTTGCATCAGGGAAAACAGTACTGCTTTATGGTGTGTGTTGTCCCCACTCATAGTAGTAGAGAAAATTGTTGAAGCAGATTTTAATAATCTAAAACATGTGTGCCGTACCTCTTTCAGCCTGGCGGCCATATAGCATTTCATAAAAGATTGGAGCAGGGGCAGGCTGTGTTCCAATGGCATGCAGAGGTGCAGGTGAAAGAAGAAGGAATTTCAGTGATGGCATCAGGAATGTTAAAGATAGGAATGAACTAAGATTTGTGAGGGATGCTAAAAGCAACAAAAAAGCCTTCTGCAAATAATGTCCATAGTAAAAGACAGAAGAAAGAAATGGGGGTTCAGTTACTCAGTGTGGGTAACAGATGACAAAGGTGGCAAAATGATAATAGATGGCAAAGAAAAGGCAGAAGTGCTCAATTTGGCTCAGTCTTCAAAAGAAGGTTTATGACTTTCTTGACGAACGGGAAGTAGAAGCTGAAGGAGCAGAATGGCTTCACGAGATGGATAGGAAAATGGTCAAGGATCATCTAATTGGATTAAATGAGTTCATATCTCCAGAGCCCAATGAACTGCATCCTAGAATCATAAAGGAGTTGGTGGAGGAACTCTCAGAACCACTGTCCATTATCTTTGAGAAATGAAAGGACAGGGGAATTGCCAGGAGACTGGAGAAGAGCTAATGTTGTCCCTATCTTCAAGAAAGGAAAAGAACAACAACCTGGGAACTACAGACCAGTCAGTCTGACATCAGTCCCTGGAAAATTCTGCAGCAGATGTCAGTCTGCAAACACCTTGAAAACAATGCAGTGATTACTGGAAGCCAACATGGATTAGTCAAAAACAAATCCTGCTAGACCAATCTGATTTCATATTTTGATTGGGTAACTTCCCTGGTGGACTATGGGAAAGCTGTGGACATAATATATCTTGACTTCATCAAAGCTTTTGGCAAAATGCCCCATGATGTCCTGATTAGCAAACTAGCCAAAAGTGGGCTAGATGGAAAAATTACAGGTGAATACACAGTTGTCTACAGAATTGAACTTAAAGAGTCTCAATGGTACCTTCTCAAAATGGGGGGAGGTAATAAGTGGGGTACCACAGGGTTCAGTCCTGTGCCCAGTGTTCTTGAACATTTTTATTAATGAGCTGGATGAGGAAGTGCAGGGAACAATTATCAGATTTGCAGATCACACAAAACTGGATGGGATAGCTAATACACCAGATGACGCAAAGAAGATTCAGAGTGATCTTGATAGGTTGGGGCACTATGCTGAAAAGAACAGAATGCAATCAGGTAGGGACAAATGCCAGTTTCTGCACCTAGGAAAAGTAAATAAATGCATCTGGGGAATACTTGGCTCAGCGATACTGCAAGTGAGAAGGATCTTGGAATTGCAGAGGATCAGTTGGGCTGCATTAATAGAAATATTATTTCCAAATCATGTAAGGTACTAGTTTCCCTTTGCTCAGAACTGGTTAGGCTTCATCTGGAGTACTGAGCCCAGTTCTGGGCACCACAGTTCAAGAAAGACGCAGTCAAGCTGGAAAGGGTTCAGAGCAGGGCAACAAGGGTGATTTGGGGACTTGAAACAAAACCCTATGAGGAGAGATTGAATGAACTGGGCATGTTTAGCCTTGAGGAGACTGAGGGGTAATATTCCCATTTTGGGAATATTTTAATGAAGTTCCTCTACATATGGGTGAGGCAGGCATGCATGAAAATTATGTAGAAAACCATGATTTAAATCTAGTCTGACTAGCTCCCTTCACTTTTGTGTGGAGGCAGGCTCAGAGGAGTCCACTTTTCCCAGCTCAGTTGCATGTGCCAAAATTTGCATCTTGCTTTGAATTTCCTGTGCATTCTACCTAAGCATTCTCTTATTTTATGCCTTTCAGAACTTTCTGTTCTGTTGTGTCTGACTATAAGCAATCCTATGGGCCAAATCTTGTCACATTTTTCAATCCAGTGCCACCTTTTTCAGCTGAACTACGCTCTCTTTGATGAAGTCTAACCACCTCACTCTTTGGCGACCTGTTTTTTTCTTGCTGCTGAGCATTCCAAGTGTTATATGTTTTTCAAACGAGCTTGATTGCATGATGTGACCAAAATAAGTGAGTCTCAGCTTTGTTATAAGCCAGGGATATGTCTGGTTTAATATGCTCCAGCACTTGCTTGTTCATCCCCCTTGCTGTCCATGGAATGCACAGGAGCCTTTTCCAACACCACAGCTTGAATGAGTCAGTTGAAACATTTTTAAAAGCAAAATATTTCGCACCTCTTTTTGGCTAAATGGTGTTAGGTTCCAGGTATATTAAGAAATTTTAGAGATTTGGAATGCAATGTCAGCTGCAGTTTAATCTATAGAATGAGTTCTCACAGCATGATAACCCATCCTACAAATTAGCGATACAGTGTGGCATCTTTGCAAAACAGTCTATGATGTGCATAGCAGATGATAGGGCTTACTGTGGATTGTTTTCCTACTTCTTCCCCATTACTAGTCCTCCAGCTGGCATTTCATGATCCTATGTTACAGAACCCTCTTTGTCTCACACTTCCTACTCCAGTTGTTACCCATTTTTCTATGTTTCTTTCTTCCCAGAGACCTGTGCCACTACCATTGATAGTCACTCCACTGATGTCCAAGTAGCACTTTGGAGCAACCATCACTGGCTCATTATTCTAGTTAAAAATATGGGGGTAACAGAAATTAACAATCTTAATCTTTTTTGAAGTATGACTATGAGTACAATTGTTATTGCTATTGCTCAGTCTTTCACAGAGAGTCTTTGGGCTATTAGGTAGTATAAAATGTATTTATTAAATAAAAAGTCTGACTGCTTGTACAACTGCCTAAAATGTAAGTCTTGCCTGGCCAATGTTCTGGTAGGTGTCTGCTGTCAAAATACAGTAGGTAATATCTATGAACATTGACAGAGTGAGGCTGCATATGGTTTGTGCATTGCTGACAGTTGTCATTTGATGAGCTATTTAAAAGCAATGCGGTGAAGGGATTTTGGCCTGGAAATGGGGTGGCAAGTACATCTCCTTACAGTGAGGTCTGCTTTTTCCATGCTTCTGTGAGTCTCCAGGTACTCATAAAATCATAGAATAGTAGAGTTAGAAGGGGGTATGAAGGCTATAGAGTCCAATCCCCTGCTGTTACAGGACACTACTTTGGAAAATGGAGACCTACATCCCATCCTCATTTCTAAATACCTACCTTTTGACAGCTGTCAAAAGAAATAGCTGCTTTGAAAAATCTATCCAGCAAATTTAAGCTGACAGAGTAATAGACTAGGAAAGACTGCATATGTTGGAAAGGCAAAAGAACCCACATGCGACAACTATTTGGGTTTTCATGACATGAGACCACACCCCAGCTAGCTAACCACAGTGTGGTGTCATGTGAACTTTGTCATATTTTCACACTAAGTTAACAATATGGGATAATCCAGTTTTGACAGCTTTTTATGTGGTAGTGTTGACCTCATAACGGAATTTGTATTTTAGATCAGTTAATAGGATTGGATTGTTTACTGGCTAGTGCCAGTTGGCAGTACATTCAGTTACAGCACTTCTTGGTGTCTATATATTGGTGTTGCTTATTTGGCAGAGTCACTTTCAGTTTAAGGGCCATCTGATCTGTTGAACAGAAAGAGTGGCTGAATTGCCTGTATATTTGGAAGAGATGGATTTTAAAAAGGCACAGAAGTGAAGGTAGCCAAGGGCAAAGGGAGATGAAATAGTGGAAGTTAGCTGGATGATCATGGGAATAGAGAGCACAACAGGGTATTGGTTGCTCTCAAACAGTCACCCATCTCAGAGAGCTTTAGTAGCCCTGATGCGTCTGCCTGGATTGAAGGTACTGCTGCTGAAGGTCATGTCAGTGAAGGGGCAACAACTTCCATTCAGGACTTGATACTAAATGAATGGGCTAGCTTGGCCTGTATCATGCAAACCTGGTTGGATGGGGCTTGGGGAGTAAAGCTCTCCCAGCATATTCCACCTGGGTTCTCTGTATTGCAGCAGGCAAGTCTTTGGAAGTGAGGGTAGATGGGTAGATTTGCAGTGGTGTATCATAATTTGATTCAACTGTCCATGTGCTTCATCCCACAGTCTTTCAATTTCCATGTGTCTTTCAGAGAGAGTAGGTATTCTGTTGATGTACTGCTTACTGAACAGCTTATATTCTACCTCTTTTCCTTCCAAGGAACTCAAGTAATTCTCCTCATCTCAATCTTATCCTCACAACAATCCTGTGAGACAGTTAAGCTGAGAGTAACTGTCTTGCCCAAAGACACTCGGAGAACTTCATGGCCAAGCAGGGACTAAAATGCAGATTGAAATCAGATTCCCAATGAACAGAACTGCTGATAATAGGCATCTTTGCCCTATACCACAAACAAGTTTTAAAATTTTGAATTTTGTCCATTCAGAGTTACATTCCTCTGGGGTTTGCATAATTTTGTCTTACAATTTTTGTGAGGATGTTGCCAAAACAAATGCTTCTAAGGTTTGAAATAAAACCTCCCATTCAACCCAATCAAATGCTTTCTCTTTATCAAACTATCAAAGCGACTTGATAATCATAGTGACACATTAAACAGTTCTATCACTCCTGTGTTATCTGATAAAATTCAGCCATAAATAAAGCCAATTTGATCTTCATTGACATAGGTAAAAGGTAAAGGTTTCCCCATGACATTAAGTCCAGTCGTGTCGGACTCTAGGGGGTGTTGCTCCTCTGTTTCTTAGTTAAGGGAGCCTGCATTTGTCTGCAGACAGATTCTGTGCTCATGTGGCTGGCATGACTAAATGCTGAGGCACATGGAATGGTGTTACCTTCTCACCAAAGTGCTACCTATGTATCTAC